AACATCCTGAGAATCTGCATCTCAGATACAGATAACTTTAAATTAGGACTGGAAGAAGTCTGTAGGTCAGTATAAAACAGTGATGATCTTGGCAATATTCTGCTTGTTCCCGGTTTTTTGGGGGCCCTTTATGTTACATGTCATATGGAACACATCAGTTGTTGTTTTTTTTTTTTTCTCTTAATGTGTATTTTAATGTATTACTTAAAAATGGGAAACACAAGTATCCCAAAGCTTTTTAACAACAAAAAAAAGTTATCTAGATTATGTCCACTGGCTGAGTATCATTATACAATCTTTCCATATTCTTTCCACTTTTTCTCTCTTAAGCTATAATGGAGTAGCAGTACTCAATGCTCTAATTCCACAAAGACAGATGAAAGCTGTTCTCAGGGTGGGTGATCAGACCTTCCAATCTTACCTCAGACCTCCAATTTTCCTTATATACTCCACCTTTTCGTAAGCTTTTAGAGCCCTACACTCTTAAGTTTTATAAATACCTGATATAAATAAAGTTTCACACTGGCAAGTGGGATCTTTATAGTTCCTGAAGTGGAGAAGACTTCTAAGCTATCCCTACCATCAGGTTAGGGTGGTTCCTAACACCGACAAACTCATACTGCTCATGAAAGTTTGAGAAGGGTATCAAATGACATTCTGTACTCAACTATTTTTTTGTTATCACTGGTGCGACAGTTATTCATGTCTCTGGCCAGAATACAACACTCCCTGCATGGAGTAGAATGCCTGCAGAGGGTTAGTGCAGTCCTTCCAGATTAAAAGGAAAAAGTAAAACAAGAATTGCCCTGTGAGAAACCATAAGGTCTTGGTAGCAGGAGACAACAGCAATGCTTTCCTGCACTACACAGATAAAATTGAATTCAGATCAGTTCAACTGAAGGAATCTTTTGACCTTGGCAATCTTCTAACATTCTCATCTCCACTTTATAAACCATGTGTTTCTTACTAACGTGCTTTCAATGCTTGTTCCTTGTGTGGACCAACCCTACTCTCAGCACTTCCTGAGTGTCCAGAAATGGAGAGAAAGGCTTAGAGAGGATGACACTGTCATGGTTTAACCCCAGCCGGCAAGTAAGCACCATACAGCTGCTCCCTCACTCCCTCCCTCCCCCCAGCAGGATGGGGGAGAGAATTGTTACACTAAAGGTGAGAAAACTCATGGATTGAAGTAAAAGTTTGATAGGTAAAGCAAAAGCCATGCACAAAACCAAAGCTAAACAAGGAATTAATTTGCTGCTTCCCATTGGCAGACATTCAGCCATTACCAAGACAGCGGGGCTCCATCATGCGTAACGGTTACCTGGAAAGACAAACATCATCACTCTGAACGTCTCCACTTCCTTCTTCTTCCCCCAGCTTTATGTGTTGAGCATGACACCATATGGTGTGGGATATTCTTTGGGTCAGTTGGGGTCAGATGCCCCAGCTCTGTCCCCTCCCAACTTCTTGTGCACTCCAAGCCTCCACACTGCTGGGGAGGTATGAGAAGAATAGGCCTTGACTCTGTGTAAGCACTGCTCAGAAGTAACTAAAACATCCATTAATTATCAACACTGTTTCCAGCACAAATCTAAAGCATAGCCCCATACCAGTGACTATGAAGAAAATTAACTCTGTCCGGGCCAAAACCAGCATAGGCATGCACCAGGTAACAGCAACTAGGTCTGAGACTGAAATTGAACCATAACAACCCCCAACATAGACAGAGGAAACAGACTGGTAGGAGCAAGTGAAAAATGGTACGGATCTGGACCTGCATGAAGAAAGGTGGACAGAATTCCAATTTGCTAGAAGCATGTGACTATTTGCTCTTTCTTTTACTCTTTTTTGTAAGAGTTTGATGCTTATGATGAACAGAGTAACTGGGACCCAAGTCTGATTCTACACAGGATACCACAGCTCCGGAAGTCCAGGCTTTTTGGTCTGCCAATGGTTAAACAATAAGACAAACAAGTGCCATCTACTTGCTCCCAGTTTGTCCCAGAGATTATCATGGCCAAATTAATAAGAGTAATTGATGACTTGGGTTTACACAATGTGCTAAATCTTATGTGATACGCTGCAGGCATAAGCTTTATACTTGTCCTTTTGTATCCAACTTGTCCTTGATTTCAAAGGCAAGTTTCAAGCTCCACATGAACTCTATAGAAACTATTCACATTTTCATGATGTACCAATGACACATTTTGACTGCATGATCTGACTACCAACGATCTGATGTAATTTATATTCACTGCTAAACATGATGCATTATACTAACACAAAAAAACAACTAACAATCAATTTCTCCTTGCAGCGTGCATGTCTGAAGCCTGCAGAAACCAGTATCTGTTACTTTGTCTTCTACCTAAGAAAACCGCTGATCTCCCCAGCTTTTGAAACATCTGCAGAGATTTTTGTATATATTTTTAGTTGGTTTATGCTCTACAGCAACAAGCCATTTTAACTGCCTGCTGGGCTGGGAAAAAGAGAAGGATGTGAATCAGCTCTTTCTACTCTCATCAGTAATTTGTACACATCTTGTTTTCACAGCCTTTTGTTGATAACAGAAGCTGAGATCTAACACATACGTCTTTCAGCTTGAGCTAACCATTATTTCCCCAAATACAAATTGGTCACAGACCTCTGTGATCTGGCTGCCCTTGATCTCTATTTTTGATCCAGGAAATGTCTGAATAACTCAAAGTTATAAAGTTGTAAAGGAATTCATCACAGGTTTCATACAAAGCTTTCTTGTCATCCATTATCTTTATAGCTTCAGGATTAGTAAATAAACCCACCAGCATTCTCAAAATGCCAAGGGCTACAAAACTGGGGGAAACCACCCAAAAGGAAGTTGAATGATACACAACTAATTCCTTACAAAACACAAATAACTCAACAATTGGTTCAAGCACAGCACTTTGCAAATTTTATAAGAAGCAGAGAGGATGTTGTGAAACACAATCACAGATAAAAGGCTTAGACAAGATGTATTTGCAGATCCCTCTATTTCAAAATTCTTTCTTTCCTACACTGAAATAGAGGGTGTTAAGTCAAAACTAACCACTGGAGACAAGAACCATAAACCCTATAAAAAATTAAAACAATAATGTAGAAATAGTTGAAAGCATTGCTTAAAATAGCAAATGTTGGTTTGTTGGTTGTTCCTTTTCTGTGGCTGCAAGATCTCCAAGAAAATGTAGCAGACACTAAAAGAGAAGAGTTATTTTAATATCTTGAAATCATTCTGGAAAATATTGAACTCTGTAAGAGGCAGAGTAAGAAGAAAAGGCAGTGAACAGCATAAAAAGTGCTGGAACCATTATGGGAAGTACAGCCACCATAGGTGGTCAGGAGTACAGAGCTCTACACGTGTATGTTGAATAATCATCAGTCATAGAATCAAAGAATGGTTAGGGTTGGAAGGGACCTTAAAGATCATCCAGCTCCAGCCCCCCTTCCAACACTTTCCACTAAACAAGGTTGCTCAAAGCCCCATCTAACCTTGCCTCGAACACTTCCAGGTATGGGGCAGCCATGACTTCTCTGGGCAACCTGTTCCAATGTCTTAGCACCTGCCCTGGGTTCAGCAGTAGCAGTCATTTTTTCTCCTTCTTGGTGCAGTGCTGTGTTTTGACTTTCGGCCTGGGAACAGAGCTGATAACACTGATGTTTTGGTCTGGCCAAGGACTTTGTGAGCCTCATGCTGTCCCAGGGAGAAGGGGAAGCCGGGAGGAAGCAGAGACAGGACACCTGACCCAAACTAGCCAAAGAGGCATTCCATACCACAGCACATCATGCCCACTATACAAACTGGGGGCAGTTACCTGGAAGGGGAGAGGACTGCGGGGTTGGACGAGGTATCGGTCGGTGCTTGGTTGGGTTGGGGGGGTGAGTTATTGGTTGGCTGGTGGTGAGGTGTTGTATTCTCTTCCCTTGTTATTTCCTTTATCATTGTTATTATTGGTGGTAGCAGTAGTGATTTGTGTTATACCTTAGTTACTAAACTGTTCTTATCTCAGCCCGTGGGAGTTGCATTCTTTTCAGTTCTCCTCTCCATCCCTCTGGGAGTAGGGGGAGGGCAAGAAAGGGGGGAGCAAGTGAACAAGCTGCTTGACTGGTTTTAAACCATGACACACCCTATAATGAAGAACTTCCTAATAGCTAATCTAAATGTACCTTCTATCAGCTTAAAGCCATCCCCCCTTGTCCTGTACTTGTCCCCCTTAGCCTTGTAAAAAGTCCCTCTCCAGCTCTCTCGAAGGCCTCTTTAGGCATCAGTCAAACCTCAATGCTTAAGTTCAGCTGTTTCCTAGCTGTGCTGCAGCTGTCTAACCATGAAGCCGGGCTCAGGTCCGCAGTCAGTGGGTTAAAGACACAGAGCACAATGACAACACCACCGTGGTGCCCAGCATGCGAGTGCCCAGGCCACTGGGCAGTGCTATTGCACTGGTGCCCTGGAGGAACTGAAGGGAAACTATTTTGGGAAGCTCAACAAACAGAAAACATGGATGTAGGGAACACCGCCATCCGCCGGCCTCTGAGCCGGCCCTAGGCCCAGGACCGAGGCAGGGCCCCACAGCACCACGTGCCACCGCCTGCTGCGGCTGACATCGAAGCCTCCCACTTGTCCCCCTCCTCTACCCTCCAATCGCCTTTGCCCACTGCCCGGCCACCCCGACTCACGCAGATGGAGATGCGCAGCACCCCACGCTGGTAGTCCCTGTACAGCTCCGCCGCCTCCCTGCTGCATTCGATGCAGCGGTAGGCGCCAAGGGCCGCCATGGTGGGCGAGTGCACGCCCCGGCCTGTCAGCGCTTCAAATCGCCTCACTTCCGCGTTTGGGGCGGAGCCGGGCCGGTTCCACACCGCCGGGCATTCTGGGAACTGTGGTTTTCTGCTGCCGCCGGCGGCCAGGCCTCGCCGGTGTGGGACTCCATGTCCCAGGGGGTAGCGCTGCGGTGCCCGCCTACCTGATGGCGGGCCCGTGGGAGAGAGCCCTCTGTCCCCGGGCTAGGCGGAAGAGGTGCGCATGCGCCCTGGGAAGATGGCACCTGCCGACGGCTCCGGGGCTGTGAGGTTGCTGTGGGTGTCGCTGGCCATGCTGGCCGTGGCCCGGACTGCGCTGGCCTTGTCCCTACTAAACCAGGAGCTGCACCGGCAGCGCCAGGGCCTGGCGGGAGGCTGCGCCTCGGCGGGAGAGTGGACAGAGCAGTACTCGGCCGAGTGCGGTGAGTCGGGGGCGTTGCCGTGATGACCGCCCTCAGCCCCGGGGCGGGGTGAGGTGGCCGTGAGCCCAGCGGCATAGCGGAGCCTTGAGGGCGAGAGGTGGCGGTTCCCCTCTCCTCTGGCCTACCCGGCCTCGCCACTCTGGAGGGTGGTGGGAGAAGAAGAAAGCGTGGCCGCGCCTCCCCTCATCCCACCCAACCCTGAAGCGCCGAGGGGACGCCGGCGCGACGCGGTGCGGCGCGGGGTCCTGCCAGCCGGGGGGAGGGCGGGCAGCCCAGCTGTATGCGTTACTGCTGTTCGCGTTACTGCTGTTCAGCTGACTCATACCGAGGGAATCTTCCGTGTGAGCTGCAGCCCCGAGTAGTGTTGTGCCGTGCGGAGCGGAGATGAGATCCCTGCTGTGGGGCTGAGCAGGGGAAAAGCGCTCACTCCTGTAAAGGGAAAGCCGTGGGACCTGTTGTATCTGTCACATAGCCTCGAGGATTCCTGTTGTCCCACTCCCCAACCTGCCGAGTCTACTAGCTGCTATGCTCTGCGTGCTTTTTAAACTCGGCACTCGGTAATACATAGACATGCCAACTCTATGTGCTCGTATTATTGAGTTGAAGATGATGTAATTCGTTTTCAACTGGAGTTATATATATTTTTCTGGTCAACTGAATGCTTTGCTTTACGAGCACCCGAAGTTCAGGTAGCACATCTTCTGGTCTTAGAATCATAGAACGGTTAAAGTTAGAAGTTAATTGATAGCTTGTAATACAGGTACAGCTAAAACTTTTTTTTATGTGTTTAAATATCTGTTGCATCAGGGTCATGTGACTTAAGTAATCAGTTATGATCTTTGATCATGACCATAACGTGAATGTACTATTAAAAATAGCAGTCTGAACCACAGTGTGCATGTAATACAGATGAAAAAGTTTTCATCGATTCAATGCAATATAGGCACTCACTGTTTATATGAGAATAACTAGTGATGTGTCATAACTGCTTAGCTGTCTGCAGGTGTTTTTTTCCTCTTACTTCATACATTCTATGCTTGTAACAATGATTGCTGTGGTCACTAAGGACAATATGCAGTTAGTGTAATCCACTGAAAATCACAGGTTTTCTAGAAATACCTTGTTAGGAGTTTCCTACGTTTCCTTTTTTTTTTCCGTCACGGTATGTAAACACTAAATAGGATTGAGAAAGTCATCTCAGGTGACCATTGCTCCAAGTCATTCAAGCTTAAGCATAAAATCAAAAAGACTTTCACCCAGTGTTGAAATAACAGCTGTATACCATGCAAGTTAATAAATGGCAAAGCATTTAATTGCATTTCTTCTGGTACTAGAACATGAATGACTGACTCGGGATATTCCTTCCCAGGTGTATTTGGAAGATTAGATTTTGATTTAATGGTGTATTTTGTTTTAAAGAGATCAGTGTAACTGAGATTGATACAAGGGATTCTGCTTAAATCATGAGGTACCTCAGGTACTTTGCACACTGATAATAAGATAGCCCTTAGTTACAGAACAGCGTACTTACCCTGAAATTGCTGTATATCAGTTTGCTCCTTTCTGTTTACGTCCTGTGGCTTGCCAGTTAAAGATTCCCTTAAGTTTTCAGTCTTTGTTTTGGTACAAGTTCCCCAGAAGCTGAGAATCAATTAGTTCCTCTTGTAGCCTACAACAGGGTCCAGGATGGTTTCTTTGGCTGATGTTTCTATCTTTACAATGAGGCAGTGTGGTATGGGTTTGACTGTATCTAACTTGCAAATAAAAGCAGATCCTTCTTCCCTGTGAGTAAAGCAGTCTGTTGCCCCAAGAACTGCAAGGTTTGGAGGGTCCTTTTTCCCCCATGTAACTTGTAACAGGCTGTTCTTACTCCCTACCACCTTATTAAAAAATTCCTTCACTAAATTCTTGCTGTTATGTAGAAAATTATTCTGAAGGTTGTCTGTGCCTGCAGCTCTTTGTTTTGTTCAGCAAAAAATGTTCAGTGAGTCCACAGCAATGGCTCTTGACTGTCACTGACTTAGGAGCACCAACACAGAACAAGTAATGTGTTAATAATGGTGTAGCACAGGAGGGTTTGGCCAACATGAAGAACAAAGGGCAGTGTTGAAACCTCTTCACAGCAGTGCTTTTGCTGGAAAACTGGGGGGGTCAGCTGCTGGACTTTCTGACTTTAAACTGTTCTGCTTTTCACGACTCTGGCTTCTGTTGTAAACTACTCCCACCAGTTATCTTTTGTGGCTCAACTTAGTTCCAAGTTTCTATTTAAAGGGCATGATTTTAGATGCTGTTTTGACTTTTCTTTACAAGATGTTTCTTTCTCTTTTAGTACTGTACTTGTGAGAAATGGAGAGTTAGCTAATTGCAACCCTTATGTAATCAAAATATAGGTATAGCACTGCCTGTAAAAGTGAATTAGAAACACACACTGCCCCCAGCCTTTCCAATTTAGCATAAGATTATACTTGCAAACATTAGGGCAGATAAAATTTTGTATTTGCAGCATGGAATCAAAGAGATAATACTGTTTATTTGATTTTTCTTGTTTATTTTTGAAGTATTTCAAGTAAATAGAGACTTTAAAATCTGAACATTTAAAAGCTAACAATTCTGTTGGGATAGCAGTTAAAGCACTCTGTAGGTGAAGTAGTAACTTCTATAGTCTGTCAGTCTGGGGGGTTCTGTTGATTATTTTTGTTTCTTATTTGTTTCATTTGTTAAACTTTGCTATGCCAACAAGATGCATTTGACTTATCATAGATTTGAATCAATATTATACTTTTTATAATGGCCTTCTTAGTAATATACCCATGAGAACCTTTGTAGATGTTCAGTTAATTATGGTTTACTCTTCTGTCTGCTTTATACAGTCTTTATACCTGTTTCCTGGACTCCAGTAGCAGCTCCTCTTTCCCTACCTCTGTATGGTCAATTCTGTTTATTTTCCTCTCTGGGATTAGAATGTTAATTTTGTCTTTGAATTCTTGGGCCAGAGAATGTAATCATAATGCCAAATGGGGACATGTCTACACCAAAATTTTCTTGTTTACTTCCAGCCCCTCTTTCTTTTTTTCTTTTATTTTTAAGATTTTTTTATTATGATCGGTTTTGTATTTTTAGCCAAAAGCAGAAGTAGTAAGAAAACAAAGTATGTAAAAGCAGTCATGGCAACTATTACTTCCCTGGCTGTGTGGATGTAGTGCTGTGGGCAGAAAGAAGCACTTCATGAAAGCTCTGCCCTTCGGAGTGCCCAGTGGGGAAGCTATTCAGATGAATGTGAGGAAGTGTGAGGTGTGATAACGACACATAAGTGTAACTCTTTGAGTTCCTAAATATATTTTATCTCTTTTTCCCCAGATTCGTCCTTTCTGCACTTCCATGAATCCGATTGTGACATAGGAAGGTCTTCATCTTGTGAATCTGTGCTCTCTCTCAACACAGAAAAAATTCTGGTATGCTATCAAGAATATAATGTACAAAACAATTTTTAATAGATTGTTGAAGTCACAGAGCACTTTAGCTGCATAACCAGTTAGAATGACGTTCAGACAAATAACTACAAATGGAATTTATTAATCAGTGGCATAGGTCCCTAAAAGGCTGCTTGTGAAAGTAGTACTGCATCGTGAGTCTGTAGGGCTAATTGAAGCTGATGTTTCCACTGAAGGCAAACCTTCACCTGGATTAGTCTACTAATTAATATTTTATTTTTAAGGCTGCTGAAAAAGGGAAAGATGTTAATTTTTTTATCCAGATTAAACCTGAGGAGGCTTACCACAAAATGGGTGTGTAGGATTGATAACTTATGATCGCTACAGAAATAATGTGCACATATAATAGAGTTAGAGGCTTCAGACCATGTTTCACTAAATGTGAGAACAGCATTGTGTGTGGAGAATATTCTAACAAAAGGAGAGTGTCTCTTGGTAGAGGCATTTTAAGAGGAATATTTTGGAATTTGATTTTTCTTGCAACACTACTGTTAACCTGTTGATCTTGAACAAATACAGTCTTCAGTGTACATAAGAACACAGGTTTGATGTTACTTCTTTAGTCCAGTAGAGTCACAGACATTGAAAATCTTCACATAATTTCCATGTGAATATACAAAAAAGCCTTGGCCAATTTGTAGATATTATTGGCTATGGGGAGCATGAAAACAGTGTTGAAATTTGAAGCAACTTCCACAGAGGTGGCATTTGGAAATAAAACTGCTCTGCTGCAAAATCTACCAAGTCAGTTATTTAACTTGAATATTGTCCTTCATCAGATATTGATCAGATTTCTGTATAAAGGTACCAGTGATTCTTCCTAAAACAGTGAAATGTAAATTAGTTTGTAAGAAATTTCCTGTTTCAAAAAGGTTTTGAAGAGAGCAACAATTCAACCTATTGGGAGTTGGTGCTGTGAAAAGATTCTTCTCATTTCTGGAAAGCAGAATGACTCTCAACGTTTGCATGTAGAACCGCGGGATGAGTAACCTATAAGTATTCAGAATTTGTTAAAGTATGAATCCCCTTCCTGTGCCACTCCAAGAACCAAATACTGTTCTGTTATTCTATGATAACAAAACAGATGAGGGCAGGGAAAACTGTGATGCTACTCATGCTGAGTGTCACATGTAGCTCTGCAATTCATAGAATATTAATGTAATGCCAGATTCCTTTGGTTGTAGCTTATTTTTCAATACCTAGTGTGGAATTTTGCTTTATCTTTTGTCCACAGACCAAGATGTATTGGCATTTTTTCATTAGTCCACCAAGATAGAGGCTGTACTTTAGTAAAAGTTATTTTTTTTTAACATTAAGACAATTATAGAAGAATAATGTTTTGCAGAGTTAAATATTGAAGATCACTTTCTGAAGTGAGTTTTCTGGAAATTGCCTGAAGGCTGCTGATAACATGAAAAGGTTGTTTCTGGAGGTGTGTGATTTGTAAATCTTTATGGTCTGCAATGTAGATGTAGTTTAATAATTGGTATAGCTGATGAACCCTGGTCATTTTTGTGATGGTTTTAGTGACTTTTTTTCCTATGAGAAAAAAAGAACTTTTCCATTCTGATACTATAGGTACAGCAGCAGGTGGAGTAGCAATTCTCAGAATGTTACAGTGTAATCATACATGATCTCCAATTGCAGTAAAAACAAAGTTCATAAAATCCAATTTGCTAATCATACGTACCCTCCAAAATACTCAAATTTTTAGATCAGGCCAAACTTTCTTCTCATTCCTGAAGTTATTAGATGAACAGGGCAGAAACTGTGCAAAGGGATTTGCTAGTTACTTTTGTGTTTTGTAGATCATTTGAATGTCTGTGTCATAGACGCAAGTAGTGAGGCTACTTTTGAACAAGCAAAAAGGAGTGGATGAGAGAATGACTAAGTGCAGTCTTTTGGGTAGAGGAAATGAGTTAAATATGTTCTCTGTAGTTTAAGGTGTTTAACTGTCTTCTCTGAAGTTAAAGATGAAGTTAAAGTGTTGCATAGTGGAAGCAAGAGAAGAGAACTGAGCAGTGAGAGAAGTTTTTTTTTTCTTCCTTTCTTGCTTACTAAACCAGTTTGGAATGCCTATCAATTAAATGAGCATTTTGTTCTCTTCTAACATAAATTGCTCTTGTAGGCTTGCAGCTGTCCATGGAAAATACTTGTGAAAATGAATGGAGCATTTCTGAATTTCTGAGGGGTTGTCTTTGGCAGTATTAGTTTCTGCAGGAGCATTATTTGGGGAACAGCCCTCTTGGATGGGACTACAATTGACTGAACAAAGTCTAGGATTGATAGAAGGTCATTATTGAAAGGGCAGCCTTTTTTACTCTAGTATGGCACAATTAAGTTAAATTTGTCTTTATTACTGGAGCGATATTCTTCCCAGTGTTTCATTTCAGTATTTTATTCCTCTGTAGTATCCTTCCCTATGAGGTGATAAAGGAATAATTAATGGGGTAAAGAGTATAAACATTCATCTGTAACAGTATGTGTCTTAGACTTCCAAAACTTCATGTTAAGAGGATGCAGTGAAAAAACATGGGCCAATGGTAAAACGCTGACAATGGCCTTTCATTGGACAGGTTTGGTTAGTCTTGCATTAGAGAGGAAAACAGCAGCACCTGAGTGAAGAGCAGTTTTTCTCCCCATGTAAGGCTGGGGATGAATTTGTTTTCAGTTACTTTGAGCAATCACATTAGTCTTAACTTTTTGATATAAGGTATTCTCTGAAGGATTTAGGACACAGGTTTCCTATTAAATTCTGTACTGTTGTCTGCTAAACACTTAAAAACCATGATGTTTTACAGAGTCAAGCGAAGTTGCTTGCAGAGCAGAAACGATTTCCATTTGCTACTGATAATGACAACACAAATGAAGAATTGGGTAAGATGCCTTACATAAGGTTTATGCAGGTGAATTATGTACTAATTATTAGCACTGAATGTTTTCAAACTAAACTGATGATTCTTTAGTGATGCATTAATTTTGAAGTGATCTTAATAAGCCTGAAAATACAGTGAGTTTTCTCTGGTTATATAAAGCAAATACGTGTATCTCTTCCTAAAAATCTTTTCTGCTTTGTTCTTTAGAATTCTTCACTATCTCTGCTTAAGCAAGTGTTCAAAAAGCTTTTGATTTAGTCCTCTTAAACAGTCTCAGCTGTTTCCTGCTTCCTTTTCTCTATAATTATTGATGATTAAAACTATTCAAACATCCAGAAATTTTTACCAATGGAATATGCTTTCTATCAAGCATAGATCTAATATTTGTCTTTTCCTTTCCACACACTCTTCCTGTCAATGCTTATAGGCTTTCTGAATTATGTCCTTATGCAAGCTGCTGGCTGATGTTTTTTCAAAGCATATTCAGCACAGTAAATGAAGGCATTTCAAATAGAACAGCAAGAAATACTTTTCTCAAAGGACGTGAGGAAGGACTTACTTGCACTGCTTCTCCTAACTGATGTCCTCTATAAGAAGCAAAGGTATTATGAGGCGGCAAAGAGATTGTTGAGAGTGTATGCCAAGGAAAGCAGCAGACTGTCTTATATATAAGAGCAAAGGGAGACTTTACTCATAAGTTGTCTAATGAAATTAAAGCAATTTTGTAGTATTTTGTTGACATAATTCCTGCCTTCACAGGAAAATTTGGGGCTTAATCTTTTTTGATATTCCTAGCGTATCTATATTCATAGAATCCTGCAGGGAATACTAAACTTAAGTCCAGCAGAAAGTATTTTATACTTTTAGTATGTGCTCTGTAGACTTGGAAGATTATGCCAGAAGATCCCTATCTTCATGTTTGGCATGTAGGCTGACACCTACCTACCCACTTGATTTCAAGTATGTCATAATGTAAGGAGCCTGGATCTTTCTTGTTTGTGCATGATACTTATAACTATTCTGAGAGAAAGTAGTGTGAAATGTATGCGGCATCCTGAAGCAAAGTTGGCACCTAAGTACTAGGGCTAATGGACCACTGTTAGCCCTAGATTTTTTCATAGTAGGGTACTTGTATTTTTGTAGTATATAATTAAAGATGAAAGATTAATCAAAGAATTAAAAATTAAGAAGCTGATACTGCATCAGCTACTAGCCACCAATCACTTGCCATAGTTCTACAGACATAATGTATGACCTCCTCTGTTTAACCAAGAGTCTTGGATAAACAAAATAAACGCATTATCAGCAAGGCAATGGGTCTTCATTATGTTGCTTCCTCCACTTTTTTCCTTAATACTGGCATAGTTGAGTTAATTTTATTTTACATGCCAACTGTTCTGTGTGCTGGGATTGAAACTGTAAAGATGATACTAAGAACTGCGTAGTCTTGGAGAAGAATGAAATGAGGAAAATTCAAGAGCTCTTCAACCTGTCTTGCTCTGCGAGTTTTCTTCCCCTTTTTTGACGATGCTGTGTCTCTGTACCAAGTGAAGCTTTTTCTGTGTTGAGGAAAAAGCTTATATTGCACACAGTTACCTCCTTCTGCATAATAGAAATGCTCCAAGAATAAGTCAAACTCTAGATTAAATGAATTTCTTACCTGTCTTTCATTTAACTTTGTTCCTTTTGTAATGAACAGTGCTTAGTGACACTGCCAAAACAATGTGGCTCTGCCTGCATGAAAGATAAATGTCTGTCCTATTAAAAATACCTGTGTTCCCACTGGCTTATTTATCGCTTCTCATGTTTGAGTAAGTAATTAAGCCAATAGGTGCCTCTTCTGCCCTGTCTGTGTGACTGCTAAAACTCATTAGGAGTATGGGAAAGGTGAATTCCAGCTCTTAGTTCCACCATCAGCTGCTCATGTGAACTGCCTGGGGAAACGTTGTACTGTAACAGCTCTAGTCCTCAAGATGCTTGTTTTTTTGTGGGCAGTATAGACAGATCTTAGTCCAGAGTTAAGAACTGAGAGATTAAAACATGCAACATGAAACAATCTTGAGATATTCAGCTGTCAGAACTAAACTTCAGTCATGAAAGCATAACCAGAGCTTTCCAGTCTTGTGACTTGACTGTGGTTTTTATATCTTCTGGAGAATATGTGTCTCAAACAATGGTCTGTTTCTTTTTCAAACACTTGGCATCTGTTCCAAAGCAGGGGGATATGCATAAACGTTAAAGCTTTTCAGAATTTTAATATGGGTAAAGATTCTGTGGTTTATGTATTAAAATGTATTTCAAAAAGTATAATGAAATGTTTTTTGCTGTTTTATTGACATTTATGATGTTTTGCTAGCAATTGCTTACGTGTTGATTGGCAACGGCTTGTATGATGAAGCCGTACGACAGTTTTCAACAATGCTGCAGGTAAGTTTTCTGTTTGGACCCCTAAAAAATCACTTTATGAAGTTATCCATTACAACATATGGCTTTACTGAATAATTCAGTTATGGATTTTAAAATGAGAGTAATTATTCTAAAATTTTTCTTCTTTTTTTTTCCCCTATGCAATAAGAATACTCCTTAAAATCAGGTGATTCAGTGTCTTGGTTATTTGCCGAGTATTTTTCTTATCTGTAGGAATAATCATTTTTTGGCACTGACAAAAAGAAAAAGCATCTTCAAAAACCTCACTTGGGCAAAACTGAAGTGTATTTAATTAGCCTCTTAATGTGTAGGCTGAGATATTTTAATGTGGACTTTTTGGGTGACAGCATGTTGCCAGTAACATTTGAAAAAAACCTGACGGATCACTTAGGATAGTGGCAAGTGGCACATTGCATTCATGATGATAAATGATTTTGTATGCTGGGTTTATCCTTCTTCAGTGGTAAGTATTTGATGAGTTTAATATATAAGTAAAATGTAACAAATACTTAAACATGCACAGTCTGACCAAAGTAAACAATCTCTTCTGAGAAGCAGGTGGCAACTCTTAAAACCAACCCAAAGAGTTTAAAAGCTTCAACTAAAGCTGTTTTCAAAATACTATATTTTTATAGCTAAGAAGCTGGGACTATCAGGAGCATGGACCTGCTTTTTGATCTAAACTGCTTGTAACACACAAATACAAGCTGAAAGTAGTAACTTCAAATACTAGCATGTTTGGGGGATTTGTTTGTTTTTAACTCAAATGTGATATGGCTTGTACTTCAGTTGAGTTAAAGTATGGTAATTTAATGGAATTATTCCAAAGAATTTATCAGAGGAGCAGAATGTTTTTCTTGTTTTGTTTGATTTGGTGTTTAGCCATCTCTGATTTTTTTTTTTTTGTTTGTTTTAATGTGAGGGATTTTTTACTTTTTTTTTTCTTTTTACCCTAATGAGAACCCCTGGTTCAAAAAGTACCGGACTTACAAAGAGGAGGCATTATATTAAGAAGGAAGGAAACATATTAAGAAGGAAATGCAGTATAAGTGAAGATAAGCAAGATACAGTGATTAGAAAGATGTGAGAAATGTGTATATAATAGAATACCTCTGCAATGCACACATCTCATTTGAAATTAATAAAATGCTTTTTCTGTACCTGAAAGGGTGTAAAGTGATTATAATTGTTCACTCTGTCTGCTGTAAGCCATATGAAGTGAATATTTAAACATTTAACAGAACAAAACAGCCTTACTTAGCCACTGTGTTAAAAGTAAGAAAGTTACCTGAAGCTGACATTGGCAAGTGTACACTCGAAGTCAGCTCAAGTCTGGCAAGGTGCTGGCATTGGTGTGCCACGTATATGTTGTTCTGTCAATGAAACAGTTTGCTTCTTGGCAGTTGTCCCAGTTAAATGAGACCAGGCCTATACTACAAACAGTTGTAGCACAGCTGTGTTGGTTGCCAGTGTGAAGATGGTGTGATTCCTGACTGTTTTTCAGGGAAACTGGCTGCATTGGCATAGTTGTGCCAAGAAAAGCAGTTTTGCTGTTGTAGTTCTTCAAATTTGAATGGAAAACTACATTTGGAGTAAAGAACATTGCACAAGAAGTAGTTTCACTATGTAAGATACATCCCCCTAAGCGTCCCAGTTGGAAAGTCACAGACTTAAATCTAACCCAAGGAAGGTTTGTTTAAATTTTGCAAAACCATTTTGGCAGGATACCTGCCCGAATACAAATTTCATCAGGATGTCACAATTTCCTGCTTCCCAATTTTGAATCTCTAATTTAAATTACAAATAAAACAAGTTTTGAATTTCTGAATTGCATGTTTATTATCACTTCCGTGATGTTAGAAGTCAGATAATTATCAATAAGGTTTCAGATAATGAAGGTTGGATAGCAGACTAGACTAATGTGCACATAGCTTCTGATAGGTGGTCACTGGCACTATAACTGCATTCTGTTTATCTTGTTTTCGAGACAAATACTCCAGAAGAATTCCAGTAAATTGAATTGGAAGTTGCAAGCATATAAAAGTATGGACCATGATATAGTCAATTTCTTTGCCTGACAGCTGTGATTGTTCATTGCTTACTACTGAAGATCAGCAGAAAATAAATACATATTGAAGAAAGATACCGTTAAAAAAAAAACAAAGAGCCAACCCAAACCCCAAATAAGCACAAACTTCAACTGATTATTGTACTCAAGTGATTACTGTGCTCATGTTTAATCTTAACAGGAAGAACCAGAGCTGGTTAGTGCAATTTATGGACGAGGGATAGCGTATGGAAAAAAAGGACTACATGTGAGTAGATAGTTATTTAAATTAATATCTTACTGAATTATTTGAATCCAAACTGTAAGAAGGCCTGTAACAGGAGGAGGCAGTCTTGGTAGGTACATCCCAAAGTCTTTGTGCTGTCCCTACTATAATGATGTGTCCATCCCTTGGTAGGTGCTCCACAGGGGGAATCTAGTGGATCATACGCCTCAAGCCGTGGGCACGTTTGCTTTGCTTGACTATGGAAGTGAAGCAGGGGTGCCAAAGGAGAACATACTCACAATTGTGAGTGGTGGATAGTAAAACTAGGAGTCACAGCCACCTGAGAGAGTTTTCTAATGAGACTGTTATATCACCAGTTTGGAATTAGTTTGTTGTTTTGTTTGGTTTTTTTTCCAATTAAGTAACTACTTCCAGCCTACCATCTACTGAGGACAGTATAAAAATTTAGATAGACAAAATGCTGGTGGCATCAACCTGTTTGCCAGTAGTACTTGATGTAAGTTACAGACAGCACTGATGAGTTCTCATTAGGCACTCACTAGTGGGTGTGAGAGTGTGTGTTGGAGTTCACGTGCAAACTTCAGCCAGCTTTGCTGCCAGGAATGGTACCTATGGAGCTGTAAACCTAATGTTTATTTACAGAGTTTTATGAATAAATTTAGAGGTACAGCACAAAGATGATGCGTACAAGCAAAGTTTATTTTTCATGTTTATAGCAGATAGGTGGGTTTTTTTCCAGCTATTTGTAGAATACCACATCTTAATGTGATTAGCAAAGGTGTGAAGCGTTTTTAAGGTAAACTGATAATTTTCAGAAACTTGAGCAATCTGTTTGTTGTTGTCCTTCAGTCCTCAGGAGTATATTACTTTAAATATGCACAGTTGTTTACCTTGTTTATTTTTCTTCATTTCAGGATATGAAAAATGCTGAACTTGCTCTGTTTGAGCTCAGTAGGGTGATTAGTTTAGAACCAGATCATCCTGAAGTATATGAACAGCGAGCAGAAGTGAGTATTTTTTGTGTCTTCAGGTTTTTTGAGATTGTTTTCAATTATTTCTTCACTGATTTAATGACTAAAGCTCTTATCTGTGTTTTTTTGTGACCATTCCTCCTTTAAAAATGTGCATATTTGCTCTCACACAATGTAATTTGTGGAATGTTTGTTTTCAAAATGAAACATATACCATATGGAGTTACTATAACCAATAGAATAGCATATACTGTATGTAGTGTTTAGTTTTTGACATACAACACAGCAAGATCATGTGGGTTTTGGTGTTTGGTTGTTTGGGGTGTTTTTAATATTATGAATCAAAATATCACTTGAACCTTACCTGTTTGCACTTAGTATCTCCATATTAAATTTATTGTTAGGGTGAACTGATAAAGTGCCAAACTTGTAAAGAATGAGTTTTTAATGAAATAGTTTGTGTTCATATTTGTGCATAAAAGTTAAATATAATTCAGATACACAGATACTTTTAATTTTGAAAATCCAGTTTTGTCAGTTACAGACTGTAAATTTCAAGAAGCAGCTTTGTAGACAAATCAAAAGCATAAACATTTATTAAATATTATTATATGCTTATAATTATCATAATTATTATTAATGATATTAAATATTATTATGTGACGTGGCATACTGTGCAATGTTAATTGCCATAATATGAAATTGCAATTCACAAGTTTCATGGGTTTAATGATTTGATAGTACATTTGTTGATAACCTTGATCGAAAAATGCAAAAAGCATTCAAATAATTGGAAAATAGAACATTTTCCTTTGGGGGAAGGATTTTTAAAAAATACAAAGGTTTGTGAGTACTTTAATTCCATTTTCAGTTGAATGTGTTGAAATAACTTGAAATAGTGTTTTGCTTTGGCTGATTTGTTTTTATTTGGAATACTAGGTTCCTGTAGATGTTATTGGTGATGTTTAGGTACACTGAATGCAATTTTCTCAAAAAAAAAATCAGATTTTTCTGTTTGATTTAAAAGCAATAAGTACTGAAATTTATAGCAGAACTTCTCAGCAAATATGCTTACTCTGTTTCAGCTGAATCTGGAAAAGAATAATCTTCATATTTCTAAACCAAATCTATTCAGCCTGTTTGCTGTAAACTGTTTTTGTTTTATACTCTTAGATATTGTCCCCGCTAGGACGAATCAGTGAAGCATTGTCTGATCTCACCAAAGCTATTCAGCTGCAACCATCAGCACGGCTTTACAGACACAGAGGTACCCTTTACTTCATATCTGAGGTTAGTAGGTTTGGAGTGTTCTGTTTGGTTTTACTTTTATGGATGTTGATGAGTATTTTGTTGTTGTTTTTTATCCTAGTTGTCACTTTTGTTCAAGAGCTTCTTTCCTATTTTAAACAAAATAAAACCAAAACCCCTGATTTCCCTGTTGACTTTGACAATTCAGAGGTATTCTTCAAGTATTTAATCTGCATATCTATTTAATACAGGGAATCAGAGGACAAGTACCTTGTATGCATATCTCAGATTGTTTTGTGTGTTTGAGGAGTAGGATAAAGGATTTTATTTGATTTATAACCTACAGCTGTATTTAAGGCGTATACAGCCTAAAAGGAAAACAGTTATGGCCAAGGCAATGACTGCTCTATACACTTAAAAAACACCAAACCCACACCACACAACAAACAAACCAACCCTACAAGAATGCTAACGTTCCATTTTGCTATGTAATCTGTGTGTGGCTTTCTTACACTTGAATCTAAAACAAGTAACTTTATTTTCAAAGATTGTGTGAGTACTATATACTAGATTTCCCACTTCATTCTTCTGATTTCACTATACTTCCAGCTATTCTTCCACTTATTTTATTACTTTTTATATAGCATTTGCTGTAAAAGCTGAAAGTGTATCACACGTTCTTTATTCTTTGATGTTCTGACTGGCAGTTGACAATCGTTGCTGCTTAGCTCTGAGACTAACTTCATATGTTAAACAAAATTGTGTAGTTTACTTTTACGAAAATGAAAGTGTTTATTTCTCTTTATTGGTATGGAGTTTCGTCTGTCATCTAAAATCTGTTTTACCACAGGATTATGCAACAGCCCATGAAGACTTTCAGCACTCACTGGAACTGAACAGGCATCAGCCTATAGCTATGCTTTATAAAGGCTTAACCTTTTTTCACAGAGGACTTTTGAAGGTAAAGCTATGTTAAATAATCTTTGTAGAACAATACCATCTATTTGAAATTACTTCTGTAAAACAGTAGAAACATCATAGGTGTTGATATACATATTTTATTACATAAGGAAGACCTTTTAAGGTAAAAGAGTTCAAGCAAAATGCAAATATGTAATACTTCATGGCATGACATGTAAATACTTCTGGTCTTGCTGGACCCTGGTAAATCAGTGGTAACCGACGTATTTATGAAGTGATTTGGCAAGTGTTTGTATTTGGCACCTCTGCTGATACCTGTATGGTTATATTCAAAATTTCTTTCCATGAAATAGGCTCCCTTAGTTTTGTGGAGGGGAAAGGGATGAAGGGCAAAGTAATTTTGAATTCTTCAGATGAGCTAAAAAGTAATCAAGGAAACTGCTGATAGAGAGCATGTGTATTTCAGTTATATGTAGATTCTGAAATGCTCATATCTAAATTGAGCATAGTTGCTCCCTCAGATTTTAAAATCAGCAGGGAAGTTCTTCCCATGCTTTTTTTAATGTTTCACCCTTTCCTGACTCAAAACTTCTGTGTTTTAGGTGTAGTAATACTGCACCTGTCTCTTGCTTAGAGATACTGCTGCACTTTTCCCAAGTGGAGAGTAATTAGATATGTTTCTGTAGTGGAAGCTTTTTTGTTTTGGTTCAGTTTTGGGGTTGTTTTGTTGTTTAATCTCTGCTACAGTTTGGGATTCATTAAGAGTTGTATGAAGAAATTCTGAAAGAACCTGGAGACAATCCAGGACTCCTGAATTTCAGCCCAGTGTCTTTCATGGGCAATCACTGCACGTTTTGGAGTTGTGTGATTTTTGTTTTGTTTTGGTTTTTTTGTGGTGGTGGATTTTTTTGTTTGTTTGTTTGGGTAGGTATTTTGTTTTTCTTGGTTTTGTTTTTTTGTTTTGTGGGTTTTTTGTTTTTTGTTTTTTGTTTTTTTTTTGGTGTGTGTGTTTTGTTTTGTTTTTTTCTTTTAAAGCAAATAGGCTACTTTTCTACTTTCTTAGTACCCAGGCTGGTATTTTTTCTCATATTGTCAGTGTATGCTGTGAGAACTTCAGGCTGTCATTGAATTTGCTGTTTGTATCTGATTGCAGCCAAATGAAATACTTGCAAATGATAGTCTGATCGCATTTTTGATATTTGGTGTAGACAGCAGAGAGCCCAGAAAGCGATGGTAGAAATACAACTGAAAAGAATAAATAATGTCTCAATTTGCAAATTAAAAGTACTATTTTTTTCTTTCTGATATGGAGATAAACACAGTTCTGTGCTACCACATCCTTTCCTCCAATTTCTTTTCTCAAAGGAAGTGTCTTCCCTCTTTAGTGTTCAAGTTCTGAGACTGTGACCTAGTGGGTTTTCATTCCCAGGTACACCTTAGCTTCCAGTCAGGTTCAGACTGCCTCTTAAAGGGAGGCTATACGTGTCATCTGCTAGGTTTTACTAGGCTTGCTCAAAACCAAGATTTAGGGTTAGGTGGCAGAGTCTTCATTTTGAGTGAAAAGAGATCATTGCTTTTGGGTCATTGCTTTTGGGAATAATCTTGGTTTTAAAACTTATCTAGAGGACATGAGCCTATCAGTAATGGTAGCTAATTAAATTATATTTGTTACATTTTGTTCAGTAGATCATTTTTGTGCATATCATAGTGCTCAGAATAATAGTTTTTCTGAATAAGAATCTCTAAATTGGTTGAAGGTGCACTTGTTATTTTCCTTGCAGCAGTTAATTTCTTGTGCTATACTCTTCAGATACTTTTCAGTCATTCTGTCATAATACAAAGCAGTTGATTATTACATCCTTAATTCTAAGTCTTTATATTGCATTTGCTGATTTATACAGCCAGTCCAGTTTAAAAACCTGAGTTCTTAATCGCATCCTTTGAAGAGGAAGATTTGTTTGAACGTATGCATATAATTCTTTTTAGCTATTTTATTTTTATTATATTTTATGCACAGCAGCAGTACATACTATTGTGTGGAGATGATAACTTACTGATAATCTCTAATTCTTTAAGAGAGTGGTTGCGAACTGTGCAATTAACTCAGAATGCAATAAATGCAGTGAAAGGCAGAGTACAGATTTGAAAGGAGTCTTTTGGGCTGAAAAAACTAAGAAGTGTATTGTGAATGAAGAAGGAAGACTATAAGGAGAGACTGCTTTGCCTTAGGGAACAGACTGAGCTTTGAAAACAAACCCTGGAGGGGTTTAATCTCTGTATTCTATTAAAATGCAAAAAGAATATCTTATTCCTATAGCATATTAAACAAAGGAGTTATGGCTAAGCCTGTCATTACTGTAAAGAATGTTGCAATATTTCATTTGTTATATGATGATTACTACCCTATAGCTTTTGTAACAAATTCATGCTTTGTTTGTTCTTTCCAAAGATTTTGATGAATAACTTTAAATCCATGGCTAGTAACTACTGAGGATGCTAAAACTAAATGAATGCAGTAAATGACAAATGTTTTGTTGGTATCTTTCTGTAGGAAGCCATTGAATCATTCAAAGAAGCTCTGAAGCAGAAAGCAGACTTCATAGATGCATATAAAAGTCTGGGACAAGCCTATAGGTAATTGCATTCAGAAATAGCTTTAAAGTCAGTTTTCAATCTGATTGTGTTTTTTAAAATACACTCTTTAAATTTTACATTTTTATTACAAAACTGTACAGAATCATATGTGTATTTGATAGTTCCTAAAGCCAATATGGCTATGTAAGGATGTGCTCAATATAAATAATTTCTAGGTTTGCTTTGTATTTTTAATTCAGTCTCCAGTAGTCTTCCAGACTCAAACATTAGGTAAGTAGCAGTTTTAAGATGTGTTTTAGGTATGCTAAATTATTTTTAAATTATGAGAATGTTTAATACAAAGTGTTAGTTCCCATCTGAGATTGTGCTGCTTAAATTTATGAAAAACTCATTGCATAGTGCATATTGTTTGTAAACTGCCAGATCCTATATCAATTAGTTTCTCACCAAAGACATTTACACTTCTGAGAATTTAGCTACTTTCCTCTATGGGTTATTCTTTATATGGACATGTAGGTTCTTAGCTATTGATCAGATAAAAATAAAGTCAATTCCTTTTTAGTAAGGTAACTAGTCAGTTTTTTCTTCTTTTACATATATATAAATAATTTATGGTTGAATAAAATGTATTACTTTAAAGGGGGTCTGCAGATAACCACTCGGGAGAAAACTACATATAGTTTTTATGTAAGGACAAGAACGTAACATAGTCAGCAACTGCATATCTCTGCCCTTTGTATTTCCCCAACCTGCTGTGTCTTGTCAGCTTTTTAATCCTTGTTTTACATTTTTAGCTTTGGAAAGCACTGAACTACGTCCATAGATGCTGCTGCACTATAAATGGCTTTTGTATAGCAGGGGTTAAGTTAAATAGAGTTGGTGTGCAAGCATTGCATGATCATGTGCACTTTTTCTTCAGGCTTTGTTTCCTCAGCATATTCACTGAAGACAGTGTCAATTATTTTTTTTTAATTTATTTTTCTTGCTTTGTGGACTTGTGCCTTACAGTATCTGAATTCTGAACTCAATGTAGAGTAACTGATTTCTTCATGAGTTTTTCTGAGATACTTGTTACTGTGGCATGTAAGTGCTTTCAAGGTGCTAAATAATAGTAAGTAATTTAGCCTGGAGGATGAGCAGTTGCCATGTGTTTCCAATGAATGCATACATGCTTTAAATTTTTTGTTTTATGTTTGGATGTGGGACTGCCTCTCTAGCTGATCAGTTGCTCTACCCTGTGCTCAAGAAACCTTAATCTGAAGAAGCTTTATTTTGAAGGAGACTAAAAAAACAAGCCTTAAAAAATGTCTAATTTTGCGTTGCACTGTTGTGGTACAGAGCAAAAGTCACGAAGCCAGAGGATTCCTAATCAGCTTAAATGTGTGGCTTTTCTTCCCTCTTGTCCTCTGCCTCCAGAAGTTTGCTGATCCTCAGGAAGTAATAGGGGAAGGAATGTAAAGAAATCCACCTCTGTTTTTTTTAAGTACTTTATTTGCAAAGCACAATTACTGTTGACACTTCTAAATGCTCAGCAGTCAGAGGAAGCTAGAAGATGAATTGAATATTGTTTAATAATTGAGGACACTGTTACTAGTGACCATCTGTAAGTCTGAATCACTTTCCCCTGAACACTCAGGTCTTAAAACAAGCAGAAATAATAATCCCATTTCTCCAGGGCACTGTTAACTTCAGCTGTCAAATTACTCCTTCCTTCTAAAATCTCATATTTTAAGTTCATGCTTGCTCGCTTTCTTCTGCATCAAATAAGTTTCAAATACAATGCTTAAAAATACCTTTTAAAGAATTCTTTTTATAGTGGAAGTTGACAGTTCTTAGTCTGATTTATTCTTCTGTACAGCATGAGTTACAGCATTTTACTTATTAGTTGCTGTTTCAAATCTAGTGACTTCAGTGTTTGTGCATTTATTTGAAACTAAAGAGCTGTGGTTAATTGCTGTTTTGTCTAAAAATCCTTTTTGGCAAATGTATTTATAACTAATAAATCTTGTTTGTTTTTTCTAGCATTGCTCTTGATTGGATTTGTTTAATTTGATATGGAAAGAATTTCATGATCTTAAACTTAAAAACCAATGTACTGGATAAAAAAAAAAGAAGAAAAATTGTGTACTATTTCTATTTTAATTTTTTTTCCTTGTAATTTCTCTGGGGCTATTTTTCCTGAAAGCTGTCCTGCTCATGGAGTAATTTCAGTCAATACATTTTTAGTTAGTTTCAGCTTTTGAATACTATATGCTTTCTTCTTATTCAGCATTGAAATAGTTAGTATGTTTTTAAAAACATGTTTATATTAATGAGTTCAAAAGACCTGTCACAAATAATGTTTTCCAAGAACTTCCACTTCTGTGGAAGCTTTGTTTTTTCTAATTCCTGAAGAAATACCATTGGTATGTGTTTTTATGTTTTGTCTGCTGAGGAGATTTGTGGTCTTGGGTTGTATTTCGGAGTGCGCATTTCTGGGATTGAAAAACTGTGCAGCTGTTCTGTTATTACCACTAAAGAACAGTTGCAGAGTTACTGCTTTTGTTAAAGAAATTTTCCATTACAACTGTGTTCTTCTTTAATAATACCCTCTTTGGACACATGAAACCAACTTTTAACAAGTAATTTCATTATCACCATTGCCTTCTGTGTTCTTCACTTTCCACTTTACGGCATCGCCTAGAGAACTTGGCAACTTTGATGCTGCTACAGAGAGCTTCCAGAAGGCTTTGCTCTTAAACCAAAACCATGTTCAGACATTGCAACTCAAAGGAATGATGCTTTATCATCATGGTAGCTTAGATGAAGCACTAAAGAACTTTAAGGTAAGCAGCCCTAAGTAAACACAAAATTAAACTGCTTTAACAAGAACTAGTATCCAATAAGTGCAATAAAAGGGATAATTGGTAAAATTTTTCATTCTGAATGCAGGGGGGTTGGAACTAGATGATCTTTAAGGTCTCTTCCAACCCATAACCATTCTAGGATTCTGTTAGCATTTGAACTAAAATTAATTATTTTTGTGAAGTCTGTCTTAAAAGATTTACAAAAACTTGTAGTTTTTAATTAAGAATGGAATTTTCCTAAAACTAAGATACTTCTTCTGTTTTATGAATTTTTACAACCAAGCTGTTTGAATTGCTTTATCCATGTTTTGTTGTTTATTTGCGTTTGTTGTGGTTTTTGGTTTTTTGAGTTTGTTTGTTTGTGTTAAACTGGTAATTGTGGTTTTGCTAATATTTCAGTTGAAATCTAAAGCTTTTTTTGTATCTGATGGAAGAAGGACTGTAGTCTTTGTAATTTTAAGCTTAAAGTAAGCATACAGAGTTCCAGTACTTATCTATTTTTTCTATTTTCTTTGTTTTGAAAAACTCAGAATATGTTGTGATGCATTGAGCTTGTAAAAATGTGTGTGTTTTTGTAGGTAAACAAAATCTGGCCTCTTTTCATTGGCATTAAATAACCACCTCATTTTGTAGACCTGTGTTAATCATATGTCTGTATTATTAAAACAAGGAATGAAATAAGGTGCAGAAACCACTACATCCCTTTCTGAATGAGCGTGTGCTTATCCCAAGGAGAATGCTTTATGCGCATTATTGCATATTCACCTTCTGTAACACAGTTTGTAGATACTGGTGTAATTGAAAAGATATTTGAACTTCTAAGGTGGAGAGCCTCTTCTAAAGACATGTAATTGCTGAAAGAATCACAGCATTAATTTTTGAATGATAAATATGAATTTGCTATGTGTTTAACATAAATAGTTGACTAACACAGTGTAATGCATGACCTAGTGAAGATATATGGATGAAAGAAATGGCAGAATATGTATGTTGAACCAGCCAGAAATTACTTGTTACAGTTACTGTCAGGAGTATGTTTATTCAACTAATGTGAAAACATGTTCAAGACCAGGTTGGATGAGGCCTTGGGTGATATGATTTAGCGTAAGGTGTCCCTGCCCATGGCAGGGGGGTTGGAACTAGATGATCTTAAGGTCCTTTCCAACCCTAATGATTCTATGATTCTATGATTTATAGTTAGAGCAAACATGATCTATTTTCGTATCAACGAGAGTATGATCCAAAGCATAGTTGTACTGGCAGTAATTGATCTTAATAATCAGTAAATGTTTTTATGCAGTCTTCCGACCAAACAGGTTAGTTTATTTGAAGATATTTGTTCTGTCTTGATTTATGAGTGTTTTGTTCTTTTAATCTCCTAGAGATGTTTACAGCTAGAACCATACAATGAAGTATGCCAGTACATGAAAGGTCTCAGCCATGTTGCAATGGGACAGTTTTATGAAGGCATAAAAGCTCAGACTAAAGTTATGTTAAATGATCCGCTACCAGGTCAGAAGGCCAGCCCAGAATATCTGAAAGTGAAATACCTTCGAGGTAAGTTGGAATTGTTTTTCTTTTATTATTTCAATTTTCTAAAATCCTTCAAGAACTCTGAAAGTGCAAGCATGCTTGTAGTTACACCATTTTAAGGAAACCATCATACATTCTCATGAGCATTGTTTAGTATGTCTCTTTAAAAAAACATACATTGATTCCTGTTTGTTCGTGCAGTTAAAAGCTAGGACCACAAATGGAAAAGAAATAGACTAATTTCTATCTTGGAAATTAGCTAATAGCAAAATTAAATTATCAAAGAGTAATTACTTATTAAAGTCATGTTGGATAGTTGTCAAAGATATGATTTGGGTTTTGTTTTTATGTAAGTACATAAATAGGCTTATTATGCAAACAGTATTTATTTCTTTCCTACAGAGTATTCTAGATACTTGCATGCGCATTTGGATACCCCTCTTTCAGAATACAATACCGATATAGATCTTCCTGGAAATTTCAAGGACCACTGGGCTAAAAATCTTCCTTTTCTCATAGAAAATTATGAAGAACAGCCAGGGTTACAGCCACACATAAAGTGAGTTTTGTTTTGGGTTTTTTAAAGCCTACTCCAAACATTTTTTTCAGTTTAACTTTTAAAAGTGCTATTCTGAAGTGCATTATAATTGATAAATGTTTAATGCTATATGAAAGTGTACACTCAGTGTGTAAATCCTTTTCAAAATCATAGGGGTTGGAGTTAGTTTAGCTCATAAACAAGGAAGAATGAAACTTAAGATTATTTTCTTCACTTCTGTCTTCACATTATCAATAACATCCACAAAATGTTTCATATTCTGTGACCTTACTGAGTAAATATTCTGTTTCTTTTCTTGTAATTAATGTTAAGGAATTGATAAGTTTGAGATTCTCAGTGTAGCTTTATGTAGCACCTTTATTAGTTTCTTGTTGCGTGTTACATTTTTATTTTGTTATAGGTGTAATTTCCTAAATACTTAATTTTTTTTAATGTTAGGTGCATTTCAATGGGAAAAAGTATTCTCTGGAGTAACTCGGATAATGAGTATTTTAGATGGAGGGTGATTTCAGTCAACAAAGGTGGGATTTATAAGAATAGGCTTCAAAAATATGTAGCTAAAGGAAAGATAGCAATTTCTCCTGGTGTAGTCTGGTTTCTAGATGTATTTTAATGTAGTCACTCTATCTGTGTAAAAAATAAAATTGCCAACTTAAAAATTTATGGCTTTTGAGTATATGGAATAGAATCCAACTTTTTAGCACAAGAAGCTTTTACAGAATTACAGGAGTTACAGAATAAGGGCTCTGGTTTCTGTGCATACTCTTTTTTACTTAGTGTTTAAGTTCCTCATGGTGAGTGTAACATTGAAGGTTACTGTATTATCTGTGAACTTTATTTAGTATCACTTATAATGAGCAAGTCTGAAGGTGAGATACTGGTTGTGACAGTGGCCTGGCTTCAGACAGACAGTAAAAAGATCTGCTATTGAATTCAGTAAGACCAGAATTTCAGTTGAGATATTGAATGTAGCTGCCATGTGCTGTGTAGGTTCAGTGGGGTGGGAGGAGGAATGAGTGTTCTTTATACTGCTTTTAAATATTTCTCACACAAATGGTGTTGATTATTAGACAGACAAATCTGTGTTTTACAACTTTCAGGACTTTTGTGCCAAGTTTTGTCTGATGCATATTTTTCTCCTCTATAAGAGATGTGTTATTTCAGAATTTTGAAAGCTATAAGCCTGATGTGCAAGAACTCATATGTGTAGCTGATCATCTGGGTTCCATGATGCAGTATGAGACACCAGGATTTCTTCCAAATAAAAGAATACATAGAGGTATAATGAAAAAAAAAAAAACAACAAACCAACCCCCAAACAATGTGGTGATAATTTAATGTTATACCTTTGCTGTCTGCAAATTAATTTTATTCTGTTCTTTTCAAATCAGATAAAAAGTTTAAAATGAAAATAATCCCTATGGCAGCAGTTTCTTGTCCTAATTGGTGACTGGAAATCATAATCACCCAGATTCTATTGATGTTGGCAATTCTTTTCCTATAAATACATCACTTTCCTATTTCAGTTTTCATATGTGTAGCAATTCAAGTGTTTGGCTATAATCCGTTTTCTGTTATTTGTCCCTCTATCCTCCTTCCGCACCCCCAGCAATGGGATTGGCCACTCTAGAAGTAATGCAAGCTGTGCAGCGGACTTGGGCAAACTCGAAAGTTCGGATGAATGGGAAAACCAGACTGATGCAGTGGAGAGATATGTTTGATATTGCTGTGAAATGGAGAAGGTAATGAGGGGGAAAAGAGAGAACAAGCCTTATGTCAGTTGTAATACTGATGCATACTTCAGTTAACCAAAGGGCTGAAGTCCAGATGAGAAAGTGCTTGCTGCTGCTCTAACTAGAAAGCCTTCTGATAAAGGAGAAGGAAGATTTAAGTACAGAAGTGCCCTTCTGAAAATACTCAATTCCTCTTGTTTTTTAAAAGAGGGAAAGAATTGGGAATAGCATTTTCTGGTCAAGTCAAAGCTGTGAAAAGCTGTTCAATACGTTGCAGTTTTGGCTAACAAATACAAGTAGTTTCAAACTCCAGTAACATAAAATGCATACGAGTTGTTGCTTTTCTTATGAAAATCGTACATGTGTTTCAATAAAATGTTCTTTTTTGTGATCTCTGAATTCTAGCTTTAGCCTAAAATTAGGCTGTGTGTGAACAAAGCTTGGTTAAAAATACTACATGGAGTGAAATGTATGCAAATTCCATGTCTTTTGTCTTTGTAGGATAGCTGACCCTGACCAGCCTGTGCTTTGGTTGGACCAAATGCCTGCCCGAAGCCTTAGCAGAGGCTTCAATAATCACATTAACTTAATCAGGTAGGAGAGTTTTACAAAACAGCTTCCCCACACACAAAGGGATTGTACCAAAACTTACCAACTGTTCACAAAACAGTGTATTAGAGTATCAGATGTATATGTGCTTACTGGTTTGCTTTAATATTTATTTTATATTTTCTAATGGAACATTTGGGGTTTGTGCTCCTCAGATTTTCCTTATGACATTTCTCCTTTTTCCTGACTTTCAATTGTATGACTGAGTTATAGCAAGATGTAACTAGGATTTTACGCAATTTTACGTGCAGCTTTTAATTCCCACATCACCTATAAAAATTAAGTTGATCATAGTTGTAATGTTTCAAATATGCTTCTCAAAGATAGTGGCAGCAGTAATGACACAGTGCTATTTTACTAGCTTCAATACTAATTTATAGTAGAAAGGAAAAACATAGTTCCTTTAATTGTTTTCAAACCAGGCCAAAGTAAAAGCAGAAAAGACAAAACAAGTAACCTGTGAAAGGTGACAGTTGCACTTTCAAACAAAGGTAAATTTTAAAAGATTCAACCACTGTTGTACGTTCCATCTTCTCCCATGCTGCAAGACTCAGTATTGTAGTCATGACAGTGCTACCTCCCAGGGAGTGGTAGAAGTATGAGAGACTCAATGTGGCAACATCACTGTCAATCACAGGAGCAGAGTGTGTTTGTGTAAGTAAATATGTAGCCAGCATTCATGTTATTTGCCTTCTTCACATCCTCCCTTGGGGAATTATTAAATCTTTGATCTGTCATTCTGTTTTTGTATCTCTTTCTTTCTTTCTTTGAAAAGCTGTCGGGGAAAAAAGGATAAAGGAAGCAAAGCTTTCTTAAGAATTATTTCAGGCTGAGAAAACCGGTGATGTTCTGATGCTCACATACAGAGGCTAATACTTTGTCCACGCTCTTCCACTTTGCTGGACCCTAGCAACATCCACTTTAGGGAGTGGGTGCAATTCAGCATTAAACTCCAATGCAGATCAGTAGTTGCTTTGCAGGATGTGCTGCTTCTTGAACAATCTTATGCTCAGGCTTTTGTCATCCCCCAAGCCAAGTGTTACATTTGGGCTCCAAGCTGTGTCCATCTTTGTTGCTGCATTTTTTTCTTTTCATATGTATGATGCTATAGGGATGCTGGGGATGGACTATTCGGTAGGGACTGTAGTGATAGGACAAGGGGTAATGGGTTAAAACTGAGACAGGGGAAATTTAGATTGGATATAAGGAAGAAATTCTTTACTGTAAGGGTGGTGAGGCACTGGAATGGGTTGTCCAGGAAAGTTGTGAATGCTCCATCCCTGGCAGTGTTCAAGGTCAGGTTGGACAGAGCCTTGGGTGAGATAGTTTAGTGTGAGGTGTCCCTGCCCATGGCAGGGGGTTTGGAACTAGATGATCTTAAGGTCCTTTCCAACCCTAACTATTTTATGATTCTATGCAGCAGAAACCACAACCATCTGTACTTTGAGATGAGGATGCATTCTATACTTCATCTGTTTCTTCCTGGTTTTATTTTAAATGGCAGATTAAAAGCTTAATTTCTAGGTAACTGCTGGCAGAAAGGCATTCAAGTAACAGCAACTAATTGCCATGCTAAAAATAGCATCTGGGGAAATATGTCCCTGTACAGGATTTCTCTTGTCAGCACCTCTGTTTTTCATTGTCCAAAGTACTTCACTTGTTTTCTTCTCATCAGAGAATGCTATCAAAACTCATGATTTACTCTCTGAGATGTTTTGGTGATTTCATAGAAATCTGAAACAAGCTTCACAATCATTCCGAATGGTAGGCCTACAGTGAATCCCATTCGAACCTTTTTTGGTTTTGGCTCAGCCTTGACTTCTGGGGCTCTCATCAGCATTTCAGTTGTGCTTTTTTGATGGCTAGGTAGAGGTTCTCTTAAAATAACTGATTTTCTTGAAGGAAGAATAGATTTGGAGCAGCCTAAATACCACTGCCTTAGGAGTTGATCACAATTTAGTACTGGGTGGTGTTTGCATCCTTTTTGATTCCAGAAACCTATACTTTGATCATTCTGCATCCCAAGTAATCGCTGCTTTCATTGGTCAGCTTTCTGTAGTGATTTGTTTCTCCTTTTGGATTGCCTCACAATAATTTCACATAGGGCTAGGGGTAAAAGAAATAATATATTAAGTGGTAGTAGTTTTGTTTGTGTTTGGTTTCTTTTTAATTACTTTTGAAACATGTTCTAGTCCATTATGATTTCTGAATGGCAATTTAATCTTAATGGTTTATACAGATCTGTATGATCTCCTTCATTACTCAACTGTGAAATGGATGGTGATTTGAAGATATTAATAGGCTACACAGCTAACACCTTTTTGCTGATAATTCAGATCACTTTATGATCTTTTGACTCTTTTTTGGGAAGACATACTTTGCTTTCTATTTGGCTTATTATTTGAAAGTTATTCTCATAACTGTATGACTAAGGCTGAATTCTTTCTGTATGACAGCTACCTGAAAATCAGGTGTAATAATAAATTATTTAGGCTGAAAAATGGCAGCTTTCATGGTTATTAAATATACCAAGATATAAGCTGTTCAGCCAAATAAGAAGTGTAAAAACAGCAGTTGGGTGTATTTGTAACAGATCAAGTCATGCTGAGCTCAGGCTGTCTCTAGGTTTTGTTTAGTCTAAATTGTACACCAGTATTTCCTGTGTGCAAAAAATTTAGAGTAGATATCTATTAACATAACCTTTTTCTTCACTCAGAATTCTTTGCATTTGAAACCCATTATTGTTCAGTGATTTTTGTCAAATGAATCTTGGCATGGAGGCACTAGCATTCAGTGACTGCTGAATTAAAGATTCTTTTTCAGAGTGGCAAAATGTGTAGAAAGCAGCAGGAAACAAAAAAATTTTTGTTTGTTTGTTTTGAGTCAATTTGGGGGCCTTTTGTTAAAGGTGTGTAAAAAACATCTTGCACTTCACAGTGTTTGTTAGGCTTCCGGATCTTAGCAGTCTGAAGATGCAAGTATATATGTCAGCTGTCACTACTTCATTTGTCTATAGACAAGTGTTATTTCAGGTTATCTCCTTTCTGGCTCAAATGATAAAAGCTGCCAAGTTTCATTTAAAGTAGAGAAAATATTTTTGAAAGTTGAAGTTATTTCATAGGCAAAACAAGGCTAAACATTAGTGATATACTCAATATCTTTATAAGAAAATTAAGACACTCTCTTGAACACTGCTCCTTTTGAATCCTTGGTGATAGTGTTTATTAAACAAGGAGAAAGAGTAGGAATAAACACAGATCACTTCTGACCACCCACCTAAAGTCTTTTCTCAGTACGACTGTTTCTGGATGGCCTTGCAGAATGATAAGTCTGGTTTGGATGTATTTTTCTGAGATGCCAGGAAAATACAGTTCCTTATACTGACATACTTCTGCCTGTTGTACAGATTATTTTTTTTTAATACAGATGGAAAATGATGGGACGTACAACAAGGGCAAGTTATGTGTATAGATTTGTCTTCATCTTTCCACTTTCCCTACCTCCCTTTCTGATGTGCAGATATATATAGGTGCTCCATTTCTGTTCAGTTTTTAAAGACTGATTCTGCCATTATTCAGAGACTAGGCCTGTTGAATTGTGAGACCAAGTGAGACATGAGACAGGGACTTAAGCTGCCAAAAATCACTTAGAATGGGGGAAAAACAGAGTTGTACACACTTTCCTGTGATTGACAGTGGTTTTGCTTCCTCAGAGAGCGATAACGTTTGCTTTATAAAATCTTGTTTTGTAGACTGGGAGAAGAGGAAGGACTCCTACAAATGCAATAATGGTATGTAATTTTTCCTCTGAGTGGTTATAATCCTAGCAGGTTTCTATCAAATCTTCAATGTTGTTCTTTTTTTTTTTTTTTTTCCTTAGTAGTCCAGAGAAAAAAACAACACCTTTTTGATGTTCTTGTTTAACAGTTACTGCTTGTAACTGTTAGGAGTCAAAGCAATATACTTCAGTATAGACTTCATACAGACAGTACATACAGACAGTATATACTTCAGTATTACTTCAGTACAGATGAATGTAGGTGAATAAAATAAAATGTGTGTGGGCTGTCAGAGGAGGTCAGCATATATATTGGCAAGTATGTAAACTAGAGATTGTTGTTTCTAGAAGTAAATTCATGGGCAGATTAAGAATTCTCTCCTTGTTATGCAGCATCTATGAGTGTAAATAATTGTTTAAGAAAGGTTGTATCCGTATACAAGTTGAGAGTTATCCTATAGATTTACTGGGCAAGGGCTGAAAATGAGTAAATATCTGTGGAATGTAGTTTATCAGAGAACAATGACACTAATCATACATGAGCTTTGCTATGTTTGCTATGGATTCTGTATTCAAAATTGGGGATGGACAATTCACCACTTCAGACAAACCTCAGGTTCATTCCCTTAATTTACAAAGCATCTGTGGATAAAATGCTGTCAAATATTTGTGGGAAATATTTGTGTCTTAGCCCTGGAATGGGGGGGTTGAAAAACAAGACTTCAAAAAACCTTTTATTTTCTTTGTAGGGGACAGGTCATTAACATGCGGTACCTGGAATATTTTGAGAAAATTCTTCATTTTATCAAAGATAGGATCCTTGTTTATCATGGGTAAATTACTGATATCTTTTTTTTTTTCCTGCTTCATTCCCTGGTAATTCTGATTTGAAATTGACATAATATTCCTTTTAGAAAGTCTGAGGGATATGTTCTTTTTAGTAAATTCTATTTTTTTGATATCTATAATTATCTTATTTCCTATTGGAAATGCAAAATCCTATTCATTGCCACATAAAGTAGCTTCAATAGGAAAAAACATTGTGAGTTACAGTATACCTAGAAACTAATAATGGTATTGAATTTGTGCCCACAATCCTCATGAGTGGGTTTCAGGTCTTTCTAAAACATGATTTATTAAAGATCTTGGGTTTTCTCTTTAATAGAATAGAATACAATTTCTCTGCGTATTGAGATTAGTTTATTAAATGAGAAAAAAAAAAGATAATTTTAATTGAAACTGGTGTCTGACAAGTGGTTTTAAAGGAATAGAGAATCTTTGCCACCTGCTGCATAGATAAGTTGGTAGGCTTTGTCCTGAAACAGAAGACAGTTTTAGAATTGTGAATGAAAAAATATGACTAAAGGTAACCTGAAAATTGATGTTAATGTATGTTTCAAACTTTCAGTATTTTTTTATGAGTAAAATGGTTTTGCCACCTACGGTTCGTTTGTGGTGACACTGTTCTGATGACATTAAAAATTAAGAAACTCCTTTTAGCTTTAAACTCTCATTTTTCTTTGGTCTGGTAACTTTTATTAAATACTGAGTTCTGTTTCTCAATCTCATTATGCTGCTTGAATATCAAACAATGAAAGTACAGAAAATCCTTAGAACAATTGAAACCATTTAAGTTTTGTAAAATTTAAGATAGTTCCTAAAGATATGCAAGTTCTGTACTACTGGGAAGTCTGTTGTCTACTGGGAGAAAATCTGTTCATAGTGAGCCAGCAGCATTTGACTTTAAACCAGAGCAATTTGTGCTGTACTTAAAATAATTCTGTTCTTAAAATCTGGGTGTACAGTAATTAGTTGATATTAAAGCACTAGTTCAGTAGGTTTCTTCACAGTCCAGCTGTGCCTGCATCTGTAGTATTACCTTTGAGGCTACACAGATGCATAAATTTTGACAGTTAAGCTGAAAAATAAGATGAGCTGATATAGGATGAAATTACTTCTTTTCAGAAACGCTACATGTGTTCAACCATTGCCATTCCATATTTAACTTTTTTCCAGAGCTAATAATCCAAAAGGACTATTAGAAGTTCGAGAAGCTTTGGAAAAAGTACATAAAGTAGAAGATCTTCTTCCCATAATGAAGGTAAATTAAAGTAAAACTTGAAAACATGAAAAAATTAATGAAATGTGTTCTGAGAGATGTCCAGTTCCTCAGAATACCACCATTGTGTTATAAACTTAGAATGAATAACTAGAAACACGAAAGTTATTTCAAATCTGCATGTGTGGAATATGATCTTCCCTTTTGATATATGCAGATGTGTGATGTGTATTTGAAACGCTTGGCCTAATTGTGAATTGGTAAAGAAATGATGGGAAGACCAAATATTGAATGTAATTCTTTAAAGCTAGCCTTATCAACTGGGAGAGTTTGTGGTCAGATCCACCATAATGGTATCACAATATGCCTGCACAGTGTGAAGGAAAAAGAGGAAGATGTGTGAGAGATTAGGAATGTGGAAGCTCTCTTTAGGTTTATTGGTACAGGTTAGTATGTGGTAGGGCTGGTAGGGGGAAGCAGAGGAGTAGTTGCCCTTGGTGACTGATAGCTAATCTGAAATGAAATCTTGGTTTATGTTCTTGTGCTTTGGAGGTCTGTCAGAGTAGGAGCAGGGAAATGTGCAGGTTTTCTTCTTTATTTATATTCTTATCTCAAGTAATAAGGCTTTAGCTGGGTTTAAGTAAAAGGTCTTCCCCCACTCCTGTGCATTAAACTGGAAGGAGTAGTGTCTACGTTTTTGGGCTTGGGGAAACCTGTTACAAAGTATTTCTTTTAAAGGATTGGAGTGGAGTTTAGTTAGAATAGGGTAACATTTGGGAAGAAGCATGGCTAAATAGAGACAAATTCATTGCTTTTCCCCCTGTCAGCTGTGTCCACACTGCATTTTTATACCTAAGCAAAGCTGACAGATTGCCATAGAAGGAGCACTTTGAAGATATATGGCTGTTACTGCTAATAGGCTGTCTGGGTTTGGATTTGTTTATGGTAGTAGTGCTCACTCACTTGTGCCCTATAGGCATCTGTACAGCAGCTATATGACTCAAGCACTGTATTTTTATATGAGTTTCTTTTAGTATGTATTACAAATATAAGTGTCTTCAAAGAACGTATCGTAATTTTGGAAGCAATTCTTAAATTACTGTCTTGTTCTTTGCCTGGAAAGATGAAGTCAGGTGGATACTAACTGAACTTAAGTAAAACCTTGTGATGAAGAGGTCATAGATGTTGGGATGGATAGACAATTAAGTGTTCCCTACTGACACACAAGACCTGGAAAGCACCTAATATGGCTACTGTTGAATTGTAGGTCAGAAAACATGTTACTAGTAGAGGTAAAAATACAGATTGCTCCAAGAGAATGGTGAAAATGTATAAACAGAGTGGGCTATACATGACTTAATTCAAAACAAATGTTTCAACTGGCAGCAAATGTTCTTCCTGGTTTTCATAACCTGTACATTTTGCTCTGGTTTGAATCTCCTGTATCCCATTACGAATTGTATTGAAATGGAATGCTGTCCCTCATTAGAGGCTTTTAGTTTTGTTTCTTTAAAATAAATGCAGATTCTCTTTAAACAAAACAAGTGCTATCTTAAAATAAATAATCACTCAAGTAATTCATTCAACACTATTGCATTATAATCATTAATAATGTCTGTATAAAATTAATGTCTGCTAATATTGATGTAGTTGGGTTATTCAGGTAGCTGGGGAATGTATGTCAAAAGCTGAGCTTTTGGCTTTAGTTAAATACAGTTTTGCCTGGTTTATACAACTCTGGCTACAGTATTACAATTTTAGATAATGTAACTTTGTGAAATTCTAAAACTTTGTGATATTTTTCCTTTTAATGAGGAAGGAACATTAATTTAAACTGGATCATACTTAAGAAATTGTTGCAGAGAGCTGTGTTCTGGAGTCCACACTTAAACTAGTATAAACATAAAACAGGCTGTCAAATTCCTGCTTTTTCATTTACATTGTTACGCCAAAAGGTTACTCTCAACATGCAAGCTGGGGAAGAATCTGCACAACTCAAACTGCTTTGCATAGTTGTTTCTCATAAACAGTGCTCCTTTATGTTTGCTATATAGTTATAAAGTTGAATGTCAATATGCCTCATTAAATATTTATGATTTCAGTAGGAAAAAAAGGATAAATGAAATAACATAGTTCACAGTAACTCTTTATCCTGTTCCCTCAGTTTGTCATTTCTACTGTATGTATTTTAAGGATTTCAAAACAATAGCTAGGCAGTCTGTCTTTCTTCACTCTAATATCAGTTTTTTTCTTTTGAAAGCAGTTTAACAGTAAAACAAGAGATGGGTTTACTGTGAATACAAAAGTCCCTAGCCTCAAGGATCAAGGGAAAGAATATGATGGATTCACAATTACAATAACAGGAGATAAGTATGTTTGCTATTTTCAAGGGTTCAGGTACATTAACTAATGATGAAGTGTTAATCTTCTCAGATGCCATTTTTACTTGCATAAAGTAGGGTCTGTTTCTCACTCATGGTATTTCTGTAAATAAATAGAAAAAATTGTTCATTTGAGGAGTTCTGTTTCCTGTTGTGTTCCCTAACAAAGAGGGAATATGGATAACATTGGTGGAGTAGGCCTTGTTGAGATGATTCTCTAATTTACAGCATAAAAGTGGAGGGAGACCTTGTTATTTATCTTAAACTATAAAATACCTAAAAAGGAAAGATCTCAAAAGTCTAAGTCTTTATTCATATCAAAATGCGTTTCTTTTTGTGAGACCTTATGATTATAGTGACTTCAAAGTCTTGAATGGAATGGGAATTTCTGTGTTCTAAGAGTGGAAGAGACAGGCTGTCTTCTATTTCAATAGTACCTGTATGTAAAAGGATACCAACAGGGGGCTTTGGGACACTCTCTGGGTGAGGTAGTAAATTTCTCACTTCGTGGATCCTGGCTCCTTCCTAAAGACTGAGCATTAATCTGAAGTTCAGAAGCTCTGTCCTACTACTAAAACCTTTGGTTTATGTGATTTAAAATTCTATGCATTGGAATTTTTCCCAGAACTTGTGTGCTTTCAGTGAGTTGCATGGAAGCCAAACTGCTCTCTAAAATGTTGACATTATCTCTTGGGTTTTAATTTTATATACTGAATGATATGCCTATATGCAGTGAAATGGCATTAAATCTATGGCCTCAAAGTTTTGGGAAAAATATTTTGGTGTCAGTAACACTGTTTAACTTTGTTCTGCACAAACTTTGTTGTGTAGCAGTGAGTCAGTTTTGATCCATAATTTGTAACTATGCTTTTATGCAAAAACAATTTCATTTTGATAATTTTAAAGTTAACAAAACTACACATTACATTCTATACAAAAATCTCAAGGCCATGAAGATATTTTAAATTTTTGTATTTTTTCTTTTTACGTACACTTTAAGTGAAACACTAACGCTCCTCAGGTATTCTTCAATGGTAATACTTCATCTGTGATTAGACAGAAATCTTCATGAGTTCTCTTAGACAATTTACAAGGTCATAAAATGTTTGTAATTCAGGGATTTATTTTTTTTCTTTAAAAAGGGGGATAATGCACATAATCTTCTAGAGGAGAAATCATAGGAAAAAGTTTATGGTGTGGTATTTAACTGCAGCATGTTTGTAACTTACCCTGGATATTAGGTTATGCATCTGTTAGAAAAAAATTCTTACCTTCTTTTTTTGTTTCATCCACTTGATAGAGTGGGGAACATATTATTTTCAGTAGAAACTCAAACAACAGAAGAGAGAACACAGCTGTATCATGCAGAAATAGATGCGCTATATAAGGATCTAACGGCGAAAGGAAAAATTCTGTCTGCAGAGCTGGGGGTAAGGCTCTTTTAATGGAAATGATGAATTCCCTGATAAAATTCTGTCATGTTTTTATACCTTCTCTTTAACAGTTCCTGTTCTAATAATTTTTGACAGAGATCATAAGCAGTAAAATTGACTGCTTGCTTAAACCCAATTATGGCATATAGCAGAAGAAGTTGTCATAATTCTATCTGTTACTGTAAGATTTGCAATGCTTTGCTGCAGTAAGAGTCTAGACAAGGTCTCAGTATCACAGAGTGTTCCTTCCCCCTCTTCCTTCACCCTTATTTTCTTTGTTTTCCTGTGTGTTCACTGTTTCATCATCCTTATAAGCACTGTTTAGGATTTGGCTCATGGTGGCTACATGTAATATGAGAAGTAGTACAAATTCATGAGAAACACTGGAATTATATTTGTGTTGATTTGTATTGCAGTGATGATCTGACTGTATTTGAGCTTGTGCTTTCCATTTTTCATCCTTTTATACTGCATAGATGAACTGTTTCACCTAAATTTTAAAGATCTAACAGAATAATTTGTTTAAACATGGGTTAATCAGGCTTCAACTTCCCAGCTTGAGATTTTTCACATTTGAAATGGTTTAAAAAAAGTAATTACAGTACTGTAAGACTTTCCAATATGTGTTCCTTTATGTGGTGTTATCTGAATATTAAATTATCTTTAATTCATTTATTTTTTTTTTCTGTTGCTTAGGAAGTAGATGCTGTTTGCAACTTGATCCTGTCATTAGTTTATTACTTCTATAACTTAATGCCACTTTCAAGAGGATCTAGGTTAGTGATTGTCTTTATCATGTCTGTTAATCTTGAATGCACACTGTCAAATATCCATGTGTTGCAGTATCATTATATTTCTTAATATTAAAAAGCTAAAAGAGCCTTGATTGAGCGGTGTGTCACCCAGTCTCTCATTTTGTGCTGCCATGACAGTAAGTACTGACTTAGTACTGTTTTAAAAGCTGTTTGGTAATTGCTGATGGTAATTTTTCATAGCTGCATGTATATTTAAAATGATGGGGAGTCTGTATTTATAGACTATTTCTCATAGAATGAAAAGTGCCATTTTTAAATTGTAATGCTTAGGTTCCTAATCCGTATTATGTTACTCCACTGTCATTTCACTCAAAAAGCTTTACCAAAACATGTATTTAAGAGGAAATATACTTTGAGATCATTTATTTTAATAAAATACATTTAAGTATTATGTTAGTAATTTATTGCAGCTGTTAGGGTCACCAGATGAAACCCTAGAATAAAGTCCCATATGTCACAGATAAACCTGGCTATATCTAAGACTGTTATGAATCTGTTCCCCAAAGCATTTAAGATCTTTAAGCTCATTATTAAACACAGTTTGATAGAAAATAAAATTTTAAAAATCCAGAGACCTCATTTGTATAACCAGGTTTTGCCTTTCTCTTGCAGCATGTGGAAATTAAATTCTGAATTTCACAATTAAAAAATTGAAAGTTGAAAAAAGTTAAGTAGCTGAAGAGCTTTACAGAGCCTCTTGTCTCTGTTGCAGTGGAGTTCATAAACTCTTCCAGGCTACAGCTAAGCTTCTTGGGAACAGGGGTTTGCTTTGTTTTCAGCTCTACGGAGTCTTAAAAGCTTGAAAGTCTGAAACTGTGATTCTGACTACTGTAGATACAGTGCTCTTCTGCTCCATAGGATCATAACTTCATTCCGGTGGTGCTGGAAAGTAACACTGATTTCTCTTTTTAAGTGTTTCATGCTTGGTTTTACATGTAAAATAAATTAACTAGCACGGTAATTTTTACTAGCCTTCTATGAAACAGCACTATATTATATTTGTTTTGTAGTCTAAAATAGCATTATGGAAAGATTTTTACTGTTCTGTGGTTTTATTGGTTTTTTTTTAGTGTGATAGCTTATTCAGTGATCATGGGGGCACTGATGGCAAGTGGAAAAGAAGTATCAGGAAAAATCCCTAAAGGAAAGGCAAGTATCAAAATACACTGGTTCAACCTGCATGGAGGAAGTGATACTTGTAAATATGAGGAAGGAGCTGTAAGAATGAATAGGAGTTGCACACTTGTTTACTGGAGATGGGTGAGATGCATGCTGTGGTGTCTTGCAGCCTGAGAGAGTTTTGAAAATCTCATTGCTGTTCTGACGGCGGTGAGATTAGAGATATCATGTGCATAATTCTGGTTAGTCAAATTGTAACACTTTATATCCCACAGTAAATACAGATTTGTAACTGAAGTTTCTAGTGTGCTGAGCTGCTTTTTGAGAAAGGTTCTGAGAGTACTTGGGTAGAATTAGTGACTCTTCTGGCTCATAGCAGAAATTTTCTGTCTTTGCACTCAATGTGTTTCCAGAGCATTTAGGGCTTGCTAAGGAAAAATGTATTTGCAACTTCTCTTGATTTCTTGTATTCTGCTTAATTGAAAATAAGTCCTAGCTTTTAAGTTACTATTCTTGAATATTATACCATCTTGCTCAATAAAGGGTTTCCTTTATTCAACTATTGGTCTATTAGCTGTGTTATCCTTTTAGCAGGAAAGGAGTAAAAGCATCCCCATTTTTTTAACATATTGTAAAAAGAAATTCCAGTGAGAATAAAAGTTGTTTAAGAAAATATCCTGCATGGATAACTGAAGAAAAAGCAACTTTCCCTTTTGTTGTAGAAAGTCCTGAGAACAATGAAGTTTGTCCTTTCAGTACAATGAAGTCATAGTAACTCTTAAGAGAAAATTGTACTTGCTTAGTAGCAAGAAAGATTCCTTTCCAGTATGCCATTAAGCTAAAGTAGAAGACTTTTGTGCATTTTGTAAGGCATCTTCTCAAGACTTTATAGGGTAGTGTATTTTGCTGGCTGGTTTCATGCAGGCAAGCAGAGCTTCAGGTTTACTAAAAAGCAGGATTCCCAACTTACAGGAAGCTCTGGGAACATTTTTCATTTGAGATATTTACCTGAAACAGAGTGCCTTAAATGGAACAAACCTATTTTTTAGAAAAGCTTTCATCTGCTGGAAGAAGTTGTTTTCCTCAGTTGAATGAAACTGGGATATATAAATATAATTTTTTTATTTTCTTTTTTTTTTTTGGGGGGGGGGGGGGGGGTGGTGGGACGGAGGCTAGATTCCATAGAAGGGTCCTGTTATTGCCTGGCAGGTCAATCAGTAGCCATGGTCACTGTAGCTTCCAGTGTTGATTGTGCAAGCCCACAGAGAGTTTTAGTGCCTGGCATGCATGCTGACTTCCAAACTAGTGAGTGATGAGGGGTGAAGTAGTCTGGGCACAGACTAGTAAGCAAGCTTACTCCTGTCTTACCAAGAATGTAGGTAGCACGCTTTCAGAACACTTCCTTGATTTCAGACAAAGTTCACTAAACCACAGATGTGTCTGCTTAAATGTTACAGTACTAAGGAACTGCTGCTTTTGACTGAACATTGTTTTACTTAAAACTTATTTTCAGCTGTAGATACGAGCAGAGTTCTTAGCTATATGTAGTTAAGCTTGTCTGAAAGCCCACTGTGGAAACAAGTAATACAGAGTACCTGTAAAGTTCAATATAAATATACCAATCATGTGATACAATAATTTGCATAATATATTATGTAGAAATCAGAAATTTTCCCATTTCATTTAGACATTGTAGGAAAGGGCAATATTTTTTGGCACTGACTCATGGGTATTAACATCTTGTCAAAAAGATTTAAAAATAACTGTGTTTTGTCATAAAAGGAAGGAAATGTTTTTAAAGTAGAATTTATATGCTAAGAATATTTGAAGATTAACTTCCTGAAATTAGAGAATTTAGACATTAGATATTAATTTCTTTGTATCTATTTTATTGCATTTTCAGCTAGTTGATTTTGAAGCAATGACAGCACCAGGCTCTGAAGCTTTTAGCAAAATAGCAAGGAGCTGGATGAATCTAAAAAGGTAAATCTTTCTGTTCAGACGGGGGGCAAGGAAATATGAAGTACTTTATATGTTCAATTTTAAAATGTACTAAAAAATGTTACTTAGAAATTATGAGCTGAGTAAATGATTGTGTATTTTTTTAACTATTTAGGATCTGATGATACAAGATTTGAACTTACACACACATTAGTGTATTTCTGGAGTATGAATATAGTGGTTAGTAGTCTAGACATTCAGTTAGGTGTTATCCTCTGAGAAAAATATAATATTTTCATTTAATTCAGTGGTCAAATTTGCTTTTTTATTTTTTTTAATCATTAGCAAATAAGGTGATTGAGTGAACAAAGCAAAGAGAAAATATTAACTTTTTTTCCCCCTATTCTTATGCATCTCTTCAAACTATATATCAAAAGTATTTTATTTATCCTTTTAGTGCTATTTTGATTTAGAGAGTGAAGTATTTCCAAAGTCGGTGGAAGTTCTGAATATATGGAATTCCATTACTTAGTATACCTTCATGACTTTTGTATATTGCTTTAAAACTTTGATTTTCATATTAATTTATTTTTGAATACTGAACACATTCATTACTTGCCAATATTATGAATCTGGTGCATTTGATTTGTCCTGTACAAAATCTAAAAATCCTCCTGAGACAAAACCAGTTTTGATATGCTTCAGGTCAGGCTCAAGATGCTTGAGGGGTGCTGAGAGAACTAGTTGGTGTCCTTACAAGGCTGTCTATAATCTCTGAAAGATTATGCACATAAGGGGATATCTGTAGTGACTGAAGGAAAGAAAATCTTGCATCCATCTTCAAGAAGTCTAGAAGGATGACCCAGGGAAACTGTAGGCTGGTCAGTTTGGTCCCTGGGAAAGTCATGAAGTTAGTCCTGTAGGAAAGTATTTTGGGGTGTATGAAGGAGAAGGTGACTGGGGGACTCTTGTGTGTCCCAATTGATGTTTATTTTTACTTCAGCAAGGACTCCCACTGTGCTGTCATACCAAGACTGCACATTATGGTTTGCACGAATGGCCAGCTAGATGGGTAAAAAGCTGTTAGGATAATCAGATATAGAGGCTACTCAGCACTTCAGACCATACCTAGAATACTGCATCCGGTCTGGGGGCAGAGCAGTAAAGACTGATAAACTGAAGCAAATTCAGAAGAGAGCCACCAAGGTGGTTAGAGCACTGGAGCACAAGCCTTAACTGGTGTGAGTTGGGCTTGTTCAGCCTAGAGAAGGCTTTGACCTAACAGCAGCTTTGCAATACCTGTGTTGAGAAAATGGAGCTGGGCAGTGCTTGGTGGAAGGGCAAAAGACAAAATGCATGAGTTGAAATGAGGTTCAGGCTGAGCATAATCTTTTCACCCTGAGGGTAGGCAGCAGAGCAGAGAGGCTGTGCAGTCTCCATCCCTTTAGATTTTCAAGACCTGACAGGATAAAGCCCTGACACCCTGGTCTGAATTTGCTGTTGACCTTTCTTGGAGCAGTGTGTTAGATCACGGACCTCCTGAGGTCTGGTCCAACCAGAGTTGTTCTGAGAGCCTAAGGAACTCTGCAGCTGCTGTTAGTGCTGAATATCTCACACTGATTAGTGTTGTTTAACTTCATATCAGTGTTTCTCAGCCTGGTGAATTTCACTAGACTCTAAAATCCCTTCCTAAATGAAGAAAGCTATTGTGAAGATGCAAGGACATCTTCGTAAAACTCAGGCTAAAAATCTACATGTAAATACAGTCAGATTCAGCATTTATTAAGGAGTAACATTTTTAAACTACAGCATAGCAAGTTGTGGTTTTTATTAAAAGTAGTCCGTGCAAATACTGTGACTTGGTAGTCTTGGAAATATAAAATATTTATGATTCCTACAATTTTTTTTTACTGTAAATCTCCAATTTATGTATTCAACTTCTTTCTTGATCCTCTGTTCATGGGTGGATTTTTAATTTGTTTGTTTTAAGACATATCTTTATCATGTTTTAAGACATATCTTTGCTCTTGGGAGCAAAGTCAGTTTAAGCCATTTCAACTGTACCTATGTGTATCTGACCCTCTCAGTTGTACTGCTAAAATTTGTGGGAATCCATAGCAAACCTGATCGGAAAAGTGATTTGTGTTAAAAATAGCTGTGCCAAACCCAAAGTTTATTTTTAACTGAGACCATTTCATAGCATAGTCCCACCGATAGTATTTCTGGCTTAAATGAGATGTAAAATGGCTGAGGAATGAGCCAGAGTGGAGAAAATGCTGCAGTCTGGTTTGCTTGATGCTGAGAAAAATATCTGTAGAACCATAGCCCAAAGGATTTCAAGTAATAATATGGAGGTAATTAACCTGAGCAACTAATTTGTCTGTAGTAGAAGAGTAATAATGGTTAGTAACTTAGGCTTGAATACTTAAAGCAGTAAAATTTTGCTTTTAACTCCTGCCGCTTCCAAAGGCTTTTTTATGTAGTCATTATTTTCATTCTCTATAGGGAATGAAGAGTTATGAGAAGCAAGAGCTGGTTGGGGGCAACAAATTCTTGATTTCAGGTCCCAAATTTGTTGGAGAAGGCCGTGAAGAGAAATATAAGCTAATGTGTTAACTTCCAGGTAAATCATAAAACTTACTAAAAGATAAATAATTTTCTTTTTTTTCCTTCTCTTTCAGTATTTCACCTTCTTACAAGAGCCTGCCATCAGTATCGGAGACTTTACCAACCCTGAGAAGGATGATTGAAGTACTAAATACAGACTCGTCTCATTGTATAAAAAAAACTATAGTTGTTGTATAATTTATACGAATAAAAGGCCAAGAGATACTGCTTCATAAATTATTTTTAAGGGGAAATTGTGGTCAAAATAGTTTTGTGGGTTTTGTTTTTGTGGAGTTTTTTGTTTGTTTTTAATAGATTAAGCTTACTTGACTAGTTAAGACAAGAACAAAAGGAATCTTTCTATGACCAATAATACTAAGAAGGAAAAAAAGAAGTAAAACAGTTGATTCCCCCTGTATTGAGACATACTCTAACAAGAAATACAGCAGTTCAGGGACCAAACAAAAAAGCAGTAAGAAACTTGATCACAGTTATGATCTGAACATGTTGCAGGTGAATTTTTATTTGTTTATTTTTTAAGGTAAAAGTGATCTGCATTGGAAATACCACTAACCTGCTTCCCGCTTGGGTTTTTGTTTGGGTGGTATTTTTACTTTCTTTTTTTGGGGGGGGAGGGTTTGTTTGGGGTTTTTTTGTTGTTGTTTTTCGTTGTTGTTTTGTTGTTTGCTTTTTGGTTGCTTGGTTTTGGTTTGTTGTGTTTGTTGTGTTTTGTTTTTTTTTTTAATTTTATTTTTTTTCCAAAAATCTCTGTCTCCTGCATGGGAAACCTCATGAACCGTACATGTGCAATTGGTAAATACACAGGCATTTCATGTAATGTGGGCCAGCGAAGGACCAGATGTCAGCTGAAAAGAATGAGTTTCAGGAAAATATCATTTGGAAACCAAAACAAACAAATGACATATTTGGAGTTAAGCTGTTGGTGAGTAAATGTCAGAAACACAGCAACTGTACGTCAGCCTCCTGTTCCAAGTACCCACTGGTGGCTGGCAGAAGATGCCAAAGGATTGACACCACATTGGGAGAGCTATAAGGCGCCTTGAGTTGTTTGTGTTGGAAGGGCCTGGCGGCATTCTGGAAAGGCAGGCTTCCCTGTAGGGCAGGGCTAATTCAGTTCAAACAACATGGACAGTATCATGAACCAGTGTTTGACTGTAATAGTGAAGATATTATTTCTGGTGAGTCCTAACTGAATTATATTCATTTTAGCTTGAGCTTTGTGACTTTAGAACTGTTTATCAGCATTTCAGAAAATCTACAGAACTGTTCTGTTTCAGACATAGCTTTCAAGTTGTTTAATATTGATAGTCTAAACTGTGATTCTGTTACTGTTAGCTTTTACGCAAATATTCTATTTATTTTGCTTGCTTCCAATTTTCCAGAGGTTAGGGCTTTGCTGTGCAATTGCAAATATATGGCCTAATTATGTAATATGAGATATGCTAAAGAATATATTATTTACCAAGGGAGAGGAGAAAACATCCTGCATACCCCAAAGTGTACCAGTAGCAGTGGTGTGGTTGTTCTTCTCTGGCTACAGTGCAGGGCAATCTCAGTCCCCTCTTTAATGAAGAAAGAAATGCAGCAAAGCATCAAGAGTGTTGATATAGGTGACATACTTTTATAGTGGTACTGAAAGCAGGGTGGATTTATTGAATGGAGGGTCTTTTATTGATGATTCCACACAAGTATTTATCAGATTCAAGTTAGAAGCTGCTGTGAATCCTGACATCCATTGTAAGAAAAGCCCTGATGATTTAGATTTCACGATTTATTACCTTGATCACTGGCAGAATAGGGCACCCATGGGTTGCTAGAGACCAAAGTGTTTACATGTATGAAGGATTTTCATAGAGATAGAAGATGAATCCCAGAAAGTGGACTCATACTACGCCTGCATTAGCAAGCAGTTCATCCTACCCAGATGAGTAACTCACTTCCCACATTATGTGCATTTCAGAGGTTTTACTTCTGTCTGCTTGTCTAGTTTATGCTGCTCATTGCATCTGAACACACATTAGCAGTGCATCTTCCAAATTGGATGTCTCTTGGATGAAATGACTTGTATTCTGAAACCTGTCTGGACTGAGAACCAAAAGGTGCTAAGTGGAGAAGGTGAGGAGACTCACTTCAAAAGTGTGCTCCCAACTCGGATTAAACCAATGGTACGTCTATACCTCTGGGAACTTTTTTCATGAACTCTTACATTCAGATTGTATGTTGAAAATACAAGGGTAGCAAAAGTAAGTGCTTTCCTTCCATGTAACACCTTTTGCCATCTATTGCTGAAGCAAATGTTGCTCTCTAGTAAGGCAAATTTGACCACTTGTCTGGCTGAAATTAGTGAAGATGCCTTTTACATTTTCTTGATCAGAATTTATATAAAGCATGACAGTAGGTACTTCTTTCCATGTAAGGATAAAGGAGGCTTGTGAGTTTTCATTGAAGAATCAGGCTGCTATCCAGTTGTGACAAAAGGTATTTTCCCACCTTTCTTTTGTCCAGGTACCTTCCCCTACCCCACTAGAAATTAAGAACTGTTTGCTTCTATGGTGTCTTCTATTTAAAGGTCTAGAAGTTTCAGAAACCTCTACTAAATTTCATTATGGAGGAAAGGGCTTGTCTTTTTCTGCCTACCTTATGCAGAAACAGGTACAGTAGCTAGGAAGAGATGTCTGGCTTTGTCTTGATTGTATTCGAATAGTATGATCTTTCCTTTAGGCCTCTTAAGTTTTCTTATACCTTGTATTATCCATTGAGAAAGGTGAAATCTACATTGGCATTGACCAGACAGCTCTTGGAACAGTAAAATAAGAGCTTTCTTGTTTTAGGGATCACACCAGAGAGAGTGGAGGAGGGGTGGTGGGAAGAGGAAAACCCCCTGGACAAACCAACCATGTACAGTTGTCCAGGTTTCCTTTTCCTCATTTCTCTTACTCCTGTGACCATCTTAATACCTACCCCCTGCTAACAGGCAAAAAGATGGTATTAATGAGAGATCAAGGAAGGGTAGGTGTAACATGCATTACACCTCTATGAGTGCGTGTGTGTATACGTGTTTCATAGGCTTGTTTCTCTGGGCGTGATACAGATGACTAAGACGGAAAGCAAGCTCAAGTCAAATGCACCCAAACAAGTTTAACAAACAAAACAGGATTATATAACCGGGCTGGTATGTGATGACTTGGAGGACTGTAATTACCTCCTAAGAACCAGATACGTGGATAAACCTAATTATCATTTTCCATCCTCTTCTATGTCATCTTAGGCAGCTGGTCTAGCGATACCATTTGAACTCGTAAATGGGAACACTAATGTATTGCAGCCCCAACCATTTATCTATTATGAATAACATTAAAGAGAGTGAGGAAGAAAAATAGGCTAAGCAATGAGAGCCCATTAATCTGAACCTCAATATGTGTGCAACTTTAATGTAATTTGAAGATGATAAAAATTCCCATGCAACTACCGAGGACAAAAGACAAAATAGATTTAGTCTCGGATAAATCTTGTGAAATAGTTACCAGTCTTTGGAAAGCTTGCTTTGGTTTTGTGTCCCTCTGGAGACTTTGGAGGTCTCTTGGGAATTTGGCAGAACCTTTGCTGAGGTACCATACACAAAATTAGGACCTGAGACAAGAAAAGAGAGCATTTGTACAGTGAGTGAGGAGCTGTCAGGAAGAGAGCAAGAGGGTTGTGGGGTGCCAGGCAAGCTAAGGTTGGTAGTGCAGTTTCCCAATGAAATTTGCAGAAAGGGAATGTTAATAAAATGGGGCTCAGAATAGCAAGTAGGGAGAAGTCAGCAATTGAAAGTACCCAAAATGGATTTTAATGAATAAAATTTCTTCTCAAGTGTTTTGGTATTTGGAAATTACAAGTTCCCAAGTTTGGATAATACAAGTTGAAACCAATAAACTCTGCTTTTTTTTTTTTTCTTTCTCTCTGGATGGCTGGGGAAAGGTGCAGGGAAACCCCTGCATGTGCCAGGAAAGAGAGTCAGTAATTTTTCACGCTGTCACACAGTGCTGATGGGCTGCCCTCTGCACTACGGGTGTAATGGGGAGTTCTGATGGATGACTCCAGTCATGCATGGTCAGTAAAGATGACTTCATACAGCACCAACCATGGAGCACCGCCAGCAGAGTGTGCAGGGTGTTGGAGCTAAGGTTGATTTAACACAGCATCTCCCTGTAATGCATTAGTCGGAAAAACAGAAAAGAGTTAAGGCTAAGCAGACCCTGCTTTTGACACAACCTGGTCACAACGCTGGTAACTACATTTCAGGAAATTGGAACGGTTTTGCAATGAAACAATCTTTTAACATGTTGGTGTTATGCCGTGATTATTCTTCACCAATGGCTTTCTACCCCCATTCTTCTAATTCATCGAACAGTTGTAAGAAAGCATTATTCTTGCTGCAGCACATCAAAGACCAAATAATCCAGTTATTTCAGCCTGCATGGAATCTGCTTTACCCATACAACTGATGCCTGCTCCATAGACTTGTTATGCTTGGGCTGCAACTTTTTTATGTAACAAAATAACACAGAGGCTTTGGACCAATTTGCTGCTCAACCTGTTGAATTGGGTGAAATAGCCTGTCCCAGACATGGCTTTGAGCTATAAGAGGGTAGACTTAGATTAGATATTAGGAAGAAATTCTTTCCCATGATGGAGATGAAGCACTGGCACAGGGTGCCCAGAGAAGCTGTGGCTGCCCCATCCCTGGCAGTGTTGAAAGCCAGCTTTGACAGGGTTTTGAGCAACCTGGTCTAGCAGATGTCCCTGCCCGTGGCAGGGGGGTTGGAGCTAGATGATCTACAATGTCCTTTCCAACCTAAACCATTCTGTGATTCTGACAGGAGCTGCTGGACCTTTTATCACGCTAAGAAACAACCAAAACTTATTTAGGAGGTCGGGAAGGCAAGTTCTCTGCTCCGGGGCTGAGCTGCCGGCTGCGGCAAGTGATTTCCTAGTGCTCCTGGCCCCGGCAGTGAGCGAATACAGCTGCTCGCCTCCTCTGGGCAGGAGCACTGAGGGCCGACCTAGTCAGCCCTCGCTACCGACGGCAGCTACACCGCAGCCGGGTCGGGAGGCGGCTTCTCTCTCCTCCGTCGCCTGCGGGGAGGCAGAAAGGCCTCGCCCCTCGCCCAGGAGCGCGGGGCTGCCGCTGCCGCGGAGGAGACCGGCAAGGGCTGCCACCG